GTAGTATTGCTACCGTTAATACTTAAGTTCATGAGTCATTTCTATCTCCCACACTAGATGCATAGTATTTCCTTTAGCCCTGGCAGGGTTAGAGCTCTAACAGGGTGCTGATGTGGTAACAATGTGCCTGATTAGCTGACCTTGATGCTTTCATAGGAATTTTAACATCTCTGTGTCAGTGATATTACTGGGGTTGGAATCTTGAACTCTCCCCTTGTGATTTTTAGCTGGATCCGGAGTGTTGAGCAGAGGGTCATTGACCTCAACGAGGAGCTGTGCTCTCCAATAGGAAGCAAAGTTGCTGAGTGGAGCATTTTGGATTGGCCTGAAAGTTTTCTTTCCACTCACTGAGTCCGGCTGCAGGCGTGCTCAGTTTTCTCAGATGGCATGCTCAGCCACCAGAAGGAGAGTCACTACTGCTAATTGACATTAGCATCATGGGTCAGGCTTGAAAAAAAAAAGGGTAATGAGTCATAGTTTGTCTTTGACACTTAGTCGTTTAGAAATAAAGCCCTAAAGTTTCTCTGGACACATTGGTAATATTAAGCTGTAGTTTTTAATACAGTTGAAAATTGTATTTTTTATTAATGATGTGTGTTGTATATTTTAAATTCTTAAAACTGAGCTTTCCCTCAAATCCAAATGCTAAGAAAGTACAGATGTCCTTGAAAAGTTTCTGGGTTCTAGTTTAAACTGGACTGTGCATTAGGATGTCCTTTTTCTGAATGTGGTGTTTTTCACCAACCTCCTTTGACAGGAAACAATGACTGCTGATTGAAGGTTCACCATTAACACCACGTACATTTTATTTAGTGTAAATATGTGCAGGATATGGAATGAGGTTGATATGATCAGTGTCAAATGAACCGTTTCTTTTCTGCCTTCAACCACAATGGCAGGGTAGTAGACTTGCCAGCATGTAGCTTAACCATGACTACTGTATGTTGACGTGTTTAGTACTGTACTTTTTTGAAGGAAGCTGATGATCAGGTTGACCTTTTTCTCTTAATTAGTACCATAAAATGTTTAAATTTATTGCAATTTTATGAATCGTTTGGTACATTACTCCTATTTATTCCTTTGGAGTGAGAAACAGTACCCAGGGCTGATTATCTGAATTGTAATGCTTAGAATGGATTAGTTACCGTAATTAGCCATGTCTTTGAAATCAGTTAATTGAATCCTCCAATTATATTATGTTGATGATTGTTATATGAAACCTCCATACAGCACACATGCAAATGAACTGAAACAAAAAAAGAAATCCAGAAATCATCCTGCTCTCTGAAATGTTACACCCGTTTAGAGGAAGGTGCTGTTGCAGTGATGTATTTATTAACCAGCAGCTATGTGCCTGGGTGGTTCAGGTATATTACAATTCCCACCTAAAGCTTTTTGCCAAAAATGGGTGACAGCAGTTGACAGTGTTAATGGGTTTTCCAGGAATATGCCAAATCCGCTTTGTATATGGATCTCTTTCAGAGAAATTCCAAAGTGTTAAGTCTTGGAGAAAAAAAAACAGTTGAATTTATCTGGGCTGCAGTGAAATTAAGATTTATTCCGGGGAAATGGAGGCAGCCTGATCTCCGGAACTGGCCTGCATTACCTCAACCAGGGGCAGCATCAGGGCAATGCTAGCAAGTCATTTCTAGAAATCAGTGTTTGTGATGAATCTGCTTGCCGGGAATGTGCACTAGCACAATCACAACACAAGATTTCATCAGTACTAAGCCCCTTTCTGTTAACTTGGTCTTTTTTCTTTTTTTTTTTGTTCTACCACCCCCCAAGTTTGGAAAACAACTTAATTACTTTTTTCCTTATTACTCTCTCAAGTATACTTTTTTCATGATTCGTGTATTCATTTCCATATTTTCTGTTTACAGTGTTCTTCTTTCTGGTCTTCATTTATTTTTTTGTCTTCGGTAAGATGATTAGACTTACGAAGTCTAATGTGTGGATCCTTTAAAGTTCTTATGTGATTTGATCATTTTCAGAAACTAGAATTTTGGGAGGCGGGATCACTTATAGCCAGAAATGTGCTTGTCGTTTGTGAGGCTACAGACACTTGTTCTTCCCGAAGGGACAGTTCAGTGGCCAGGCAAATGGAAAATGCACTATTTTCTTCAAAACAACTAAAACGTTTGGGAGAAACCTCACCAAAGACTGTGGGTGTCTGTGTGTTCCTTCATTTTGTTCCTTCATTCCTTCATTTTGTCGCCTGAAAATTCATAAGTCAGAGTTGCTTTATCTACTGAAGAAAATATATCACTGTATTACAAAATCTGAGAGGGCAGTGAGTAGAATGCACCTTCTGTATGTTTTTAATTGTGCATTTGGGACTTTTGTGGTGTCGGATGTTAATTATCAAAAAGAACAAACTGTACAGCATCAACACTAATTTGGTTAAACGAATGCACACTAAATTCAGAAAGGTGCCTGTGACAGAGTGCCTCAGTTTATTTATTGATTTGGTTTGAGATGTAGTTTTGAATGTAGGTTTGAAACTTGCCAAACTATGCTTAGATATTGAACTCTTCCATGGCGATACACACAGTGAGCCATCTTTATATTAAATACTTGAGATATTGTCTCTGACAGATGATTATTATTACTTTCGGGGTGGTGTTTAAATATTTAATAGCTGCTTATCATTACTGTAAATCGTGGTGTCGGGGTGTTAATGGGACCTGCGCTGAAAGCAAAAGCGCTTTTGAAAGGGAAGCAAACAAAAACGTGTTGAGCCCCCAAGGACATTCTGCTGTCGGAGTGGAAATTATGCAAAGCGATGCATAGAAATCCGAACTGTTTCCCTGGCACCATTTGTGGACAGATCTGTTTGTGGAAGTTTTGAAGTTTTTATCTTGGAAAGGTCCTTTGTTTGTTTTTTTCCCCCGAAGACGGACATTTACTTCACGAATCAGTGCAAATTGCAGTCGAGTCCAAAAAAATTGCTCATGTTCGCATACGGCATATTTTAGTCTGCAATTCTGACAGTATCAGAATATTTACTGTATGCCTATAGAATTAACACCTGAATCCTTACTGTGATGTTCCCCACAGAATTAGGTGTAGGTGGACTAAAATTAATTTTGAGAATACATTTGAAATACCAGGATTAGTTATTTTTTTTAATCATTCCATGATTATGGGAAACTTTATCGTCTGGTGAAAGTAAGTCTTCACAAAAATTAAAATTTATTCTTTATGGTTTGTTATGGTGCCTTTTCTAGTGTGAGTCACGTATTGTTCTGTCAGTACTTTGAGCCACTGTTTGTGGAACAGCATAATATCGCATAATAATCACAGAAGTCAGAGCATTTAATAAAGAATTGCTTTGAATAGTGTACTATGGGGAAGAAACAGAAAGGAACTAGTTTCAGCAAGTGACATGCCGTGCTCATTCAGCACACTGTGAATTATTACAAATAGTTCAGCGTAACCTTTTCTTAATTTGGGGAGTTTTGATCGCTGTTTGCTGCAGCAACAATTACAGACAGTTGAATCAAGAAGAAGCACTCTTGTCTCTGTAAACCAGAGCTTGTCGCTGTGCCAGAGCCACTGATTTTAAATGTTTTCCAACTACCTCAACTTCACTCAATAGAACAGGTGTTTTTTTTTATGCGGGAAACTGAGGGCTTCACAGTGGGACCAGATCTGGGGAGCTGTAACTCGATGGTGCACTTCAGGGATATTGTACTGGTGATGTTAATAATAAAACCATGTTGTGCAGGGCAATTTGATTCCCACTAACTGGTTGACTATTTCACTAAGAGGGTTCTTTGCAAGTTTGTGGTACAGTCGTTAGTGATCTATACTGATTCAAAGCATCTTTCCTAAAATAAAAATAAAACTGACTGCCGGATTCTAAAACCCCTGCAGAGATGTATGAATAAAGAAAAATGGATATTGATTTTGGAAATATGGACTGTCTAGGTTAATGTGATTTTTGTATTTATTAATTGTAGTTATTTTTTCGGTCATTTCTCCTTTCCTATTGCCTCAGTTTCCACAATATCATTCAACGTTTTGATTGTTTTCATGTGCTCATAGCCAGTTGGCTGGAATTTATTTAATCAGCACCCAGTTATGTACTTTTTATGCAATATTTTTGATGACAGGTTATTTCTTCTATATTTTATGTACTTTTCAAGCTTTCAAGATAATAGTTTTGCGTTTGGTGAAGGGAGTGGGGGTCACAACAAGATTGCCATTGTGGTATTCCATTTTACATGCAGGTTTCCTGTTTTCTTACCAATAAGCATTGGTGTAGAATATCTCAAGACGTGTAAATATCATTTCACCCCCCCACACGCACACAGGAAATGGTTAAGTGTTATAAAACTTGCCATTTAACAAACTTATCTTTTCCTTTTAACCTCATTTTTATGTTTCCTAAATCTCTAATGGATTTGTTCCATCTGTATTCATCTTTTTTGTGCAAAGTAGAAAGCGATGTGCCACTATGAACAATTACTATTGATGTGCGTTATCAGTGATTAATGAGATGTTTTGTGAGAAGATCTACATTTTTCATGTAATGGGGAACAGAGTGGAATCCTAACTGAACTGAAGACCTGAGAACTTCAGTGCTTGGGTTTTCTTTTGAAATATCACTTAAAGCCATTTAGTATCGCCTGCAATTTCCCTGCTATCATCATCTGCTTCTTTGCCGAAATAGAACAGTTTTTATTAAGCAAACAGCCGTGTCTCTGCTTATATCTAACTTTTAAATCGACTTATTTCTCTTTGATTCACAGTTTTCTGAAAGGTTTGGATAATCAGGTTATTGAAACGTGTAAGTGTCTAGGGTTGCTTGTTCTAGCGAAAGACATGGCTGTCTTTCTTTATAATTTGGCTTTTGACCGAAGGAACGAAGCTTCCTCCAGACATATAAATACTGAAAATATTGAGCCTGCAGCATGCATGTGAAGTGAGAAACTGCTTCTGGTACGCATGAGGTGTTGTGTGTGACATCAGAGTCTCTTCCTTTTGTCCTTCAGGACGATTGTGTCGTGGAAGGTGTTCCGACAGTGCCTTCAGGACGTACATCCGATAAGCTCTGGCTTGGAGGCAATGGCCCTCAAATCCACCATCGACCTGACGTGCAACGACTACATCTCCATCTTTGAGTTCGACATCTTCACCAGGCTTTTCCAGGTATTTCTGGCTCTAGGACTTTCTTTTGTTAAATGGTCTATCGCGTGAGAGCCAAGGATCACAGAACTGTTGTTGATGTGGTGTAGCTTTTGGTTTCAGCGGTGTGTTTTTCGTTTTTTGTTTTTTTGGGACGGGTTAAATACAGAACCTTAGGAATCGGACTGTAACTTGTGCAGAAAGTCTAGGTTGACAACCCCTGTGGTTAAAACCTTGTCTTTTATAGATGTAGCGCGGAAGCCTCCAACTCCTCTTTCATATTACACTCCGGTGATCGTTTGTCTACAGTTAAACATGAACTGACCAGCTTTCCCGGTTAACCCTGTCTCCCCTCCCCAAAGAGAAACACCCTGATTTTCTTTGTTTTTTGCACAAGTGTGCAGCATGAGAGACTCATTTAAGGAGGCTTTAGCGATGTGATTTGGTTAGGAGCTCTAATTGCTTGTGTGAATTTTGGCGTCTGAGCATCAGCAGCCAGCCGGAGCCTGTGGGGATGAACTCTGTTTACTAATTGAAAAGGAATATTGAAGCCCGAAGGGACACCCCCGCCCCCTTGTCTGAGAAAACAGCAGCGTGGTGGTGATATAAATGTCAGAACTCACTTAGTGAAATGGAAACCCAAGTAAGGGATCACCTTTTTTTCCAAGGGGGTGTATTGTTACACTTACAGGAAACGCCTCCACGTCTTCAATTGAATGCCATCAGAAGATTTTTGTATATTAAAAACACGAAGCCCCGAATCCTAAATGCCAGACGTATATCAAAAATCAGAACTAACCTTTTACAATAGAACGTAGTTTTGTAATTACTGTACGAGGGACGGTCCTTTGAGAGATGTCTTTTTTTTTTCCCCCAGCTTGCAGATCTTTTTATCATTTTTTTTAGCCATTTTGTTACCAGTGTTGAGGTTTAATAAATCCAAACTCTTCTATACGGTCTTATACACTGACTTATACAGTCAAGTGCTTGATTTTTACCCTCGCCTCCTTGAGGTTCAGAAATTAGAAAGTGAGACTTTTGTTTGACTGCATTTCACATGATTTTTTTTCGAGAACAGATCCGTGCTGCGTATAAAGGAGTTGCTTCAGCTTAGGAAACTGTTTGATCGATCTGTCTGTTCAAGTCCTTATTATCTTTAATTACTTTGTGGTGGTCTTCTGAAAAAAACACCCACTGAGAATTGTTTAAAAAACAGCCGGATGAAATCATTGGATCAATTTAGTAGCTGCACACTACCAAACTTTTTCTCACTTTTCTTATGTTCTTATTCCATATACAAACACTGCTACAAGATACACATATTACAGTTTGGAGTCTGGCTGCTGTCCTGGGAGGCACAAAAGCATACATTTGTCAACACTCATGTCCCAAAGTGTAACTATCAATTAAAAAATAAAACGGTTTTGATTGTTTAAATCATGATGACTGAGGACAATTGTTGAGGCCATATTGAGTAATGGAAGAAAGGACGCCCACGCATTGCCTGAATGAAGAAAAAGTGTGAGAATGGCAAAGATTGGAGACTAAAATTATTACCAGCAGTTTTTTGCTGTTTTATATGATCTTTAAAAACTTGCCTTTGTCATTTTACATTTCGCAAAACTAAGTCTTTATGATACAGGTCATTGGGATGTTCCATGTAATGTTTTGAGAGAGTGATCTGGTGTATTTCTACTGCTTGTGCAAGGTATTAAAAGCTGTCATTTTCCATCCTGAAATGGTACTTGGATAGTTTTAATATACATCACTCTTTCTGCTAGTTCTGCACTTTTGTCGGCCTCAGCTCGCAGGAATAAATGTGTTTATTATCTAGTAGGTAATCCTCCTACCATGCAGCTGCACAGACTTGGAAAGCTAATCAATTGCACGCATTTCATGATTCATACAGCTCCGAATCCGTCCTGTAAGCACTTTCACGGTTTGTCTAGTTGCTGCCTTTGTAAAATCACTGCCTCCCTTGTTAACCCGTTTCAGCTGAAATTTCTACCAAGGCTTAAGTTTTCTGTTGCTCATTCAGTGGTAACACACTCAGTATAGGGGGGAACATTACAGGAAAAAAATAGTTATAGTTAGCCATACCATTCATCTAGAAATGTAATAATCTCTTAGCTTGATTTCTCAACGTGGGCATCCTTTTCAGTTTCTGCATGCTCTCACTATTTCCTGTGGGTAGAGGTAGAATAGAATACAGACAGATGTCTAAAAGTGCATTTTGGTACATTTTGTATTTTGTCCGTCTCTTCAAATGATTGGGAGTGAAGAACATTAAGCAGCATGCCATTTGATATAATCTATGTAAAAGGACATGTGCTGTATTTAAAAGTTACTTCCCTTCTGTACTCAGAAAAGAGAATTTATAAATATGAGTGAGTCACTGTGCCTTAAAGAATAATTATGCGTAGATGCTGCAAGACCTTTTTTTGTTAAAATGATTAAATTTTACCCCTGTACACTGCAGCATAATCTGAACTTCAGTGGATTGTCATAAATTATGGGCTGTTTTTGGTGGTTGCCTTGGTGTTTTTTGCCTTGCAGCGAGTGGTGTTGCGTATGTCTGTGTTGATTTTGCAGTCTTCATAAAAATAAGTAATCAATCTCTGTGTTTGCATTGTGCAGCAGAACGTATTTTCTGGAAAAACATCCTCCTTTCATTCTGCTTGGAGGTGCAGACTTCTTTCAAGCTTGAAGGCCCTGAGTTTGGAAAAAGAGGGTTACTTAGTCACACAGCGCAAGTTGTGCTCAAAATCTATGATTTGAAACCTATTATTAACGCAGAGAGATTCTTCTAGTGTTTCATTACAGAACTGCTGTTTTGGCATCGTTTTGAGTGCAGTAGTGGAGATCATGTTTCTGTGAGCATCTGGAGTCTGGATGTATTTTAGATCACAACTGTCAATAAAATGCAGAGTAGAGGGTGGATAAACCTTGTTTCTAACTGAAATGTGAAAGGAATAATGGGTAAAAGGAAAATGCATGGATTGTTTTTTTTTGTGTCAATATCAAAGTGTGTTCTTCTGTAAAAAGCAGGGATGAATAATTTGATAAAGCCCTTTATACTTAATGTAGTTGCACCAGATCATGTTGAAATGGTTCCACCTTTGCTTATTGATTTTAATCTTATGGAGTACGGCGACTTCTCTCAGACCCTTCATAGAGCTCGTTCTTGGTCTTTCAGCCATGGGGCTCAATTCTGAGGAACTGGAACTTCCTGGCTGTGACTCATCCCGGCTACATGGCGTTCTTGACGTATGACGAGGTGAAGGCTCGACTCCAGAAATACATCAACAAGCCCGGAAGGTGTGGAAGAACAGATGTTCAAGAGCTGCTTTGTCTTTTATTAATTCTTATTTGCAGGTTGTTATGCCCGTCTCCTACTCAACCTGGAGAATTTGCCAAAACGACTCCTGTAATTACGAGTGGGAGGTGCTGCACAGCTAATTATAGAAGGGTTAAAGCGTGCGGCTTGTATTCCACTGAAGTGAGAGAGACAGAGAAAAAAAAACTTTTCCTCAGACTGCTGATTTCATCGTTTAAATGTCTGTGGAAAAACAGAGGTTACTGTTGAAGGTGCAAAACAACATTAGAGATTGTGCAATGGATGAAGCTGCTGAGAAGCCGAGTGTGTAAAACTGATAGAGTATTAACATAAATGGTCTGTACTATACCACTTATCTTTTCGTTTCCATTAAGAATTTTTCAATCAGCAGGCAGCAAGGCAGTGTTGGAGTCTGATAACAAAAGAGACCCTGTAGTAGCCTTTCCAACACCCCTTCATTTTTAACAAGGCCCGGTGCATCACTGTAAAACATAGCGGTGAATCAAGCTTTTATTTCTCTTGAAGCGACTCACTGCGAGCTGTGTTCTGCAGTCATAGTCACGCTGAACCGAAACCAAGACAGAAAGCTGCTTGAAAATCGTTGGAGACTGGGTGGTCTGCCCTAATCCTTCACCGAACCTCTTCATGCTAATACCAGTGTTCTGAAAGCAGGAAGAACAGCTGCCATTTGAACTCGGCTGTGAGGAGATAAATGAGCTCCTCCATTTGCACACACTTAACTCTCTCTCCCTTACTCACTGTGTGCTCAAACACACACAAGTCACCAGCTATTATAAAGGGCTCCACAGTGAGTCAGGCAATGTGCAAATGCTTGTCAGATTGAACTGGAGCTAAAATGTTATGCACATCGCGTTGTCCTTTTCCAGTGGTGCTGTACGCTGGGCTTTTAAAGCTTTTCTTTGGCAACACAGTGCAGAGTTTTTTAAATGCAGCTATAAAAGAATACTGAAGAAGAGCATTTTATTATTATTACCTTTCGGTTTCTCAAAGCATGGCAACTACTTATTATCGTTTGACATTTCTATCTTTTCTTATTTTATTATTTTTTTTGCAGGTCTAACTGTTTTGTATGCTGCCAAAACAAGAATAATTCTGAGAATAATGGGTTTATTGTTACTTTGATTATACTACAGGAAAGTGACAGCTGTTTATTTTCTACAGCCATTTTATCTCAAGGCAACAGTTTTCATGTCAAATTCTATGGATGAAGATTGACACACTAAAATTTGTGAATTATGGAAGCAGCTGATTTTTCCCGTCGGTATTTGCAATCCAATTCCAACTTGTAAATTTTGTTCCTTGGAAACCTGGGGCGTGAAACTAGCGGATGTTAATTCCTGGTAGCTTTTATTCCTGCGATTCTTGTCAGAACGCTGTTTTTTCACATATTCTTGGCCATCTGTGATGTGCTAAAATATGGTTGATTTTACTAATGATTGAATGTTCACAGTAATCCTTAGTCTTTAGCTCTTTTGGCAACTGGTCGATTAAACAAAAAATCAACAGTGAAAATGATTGGCTGTATGATGAGAGTATTTTTTTCTAACTAAACTAAAAATGCAGATCTACTTATGACAACGTAGACATTTTATAGAAAGGCAAGGTCATCATTTGGATTAGGGTGGAAAGTGTCACCGTTAGACAAACTAAACTTAGTTTATTCCTGCGAGACTGATTACTTATTCCTTATTTGGAATGAATAAGTAATCAGTCTCGCAGTTCTTAGGAACTGGTAGTGTGTATGGATACAGATTTAAAGAAAACGGTTTGTTGCCAAATCATCTTTGAAAGCCTTTGATAGATTCATTCACAGCTAATTTGTACGTGTAAGAACACGATTTTATGTAGCTGTTTTTTCTCCTTGTCCTGCGCTGTATATAAACTACATATTGTCCAAAGTCTGAGTTAAGATGAAATATGAAATATTCCTGATATAACCAGTATACCTGTGTTGTATAGTTCCATGTTTTAATAGAATTGTGACTTTGTGGGGTTTGTAACACTAGCATATTTTTCCACAAATTGTTGACACTTCTCTAGAGGATTGATTATCATTAGGATTTGGACTAAACTGGCCTGAACCTCAAAGTATTGTCAGCTGAAGTTTTCTAGAATGATGCATTTCATCTGTTTTCAGCCCTGAACCTGTTTTAAGCATGCTAGTGTCTTGACCTACTGTATAAGTTACCTGTCATCTCAATCATGGCTCCACTGTCTGGATTGGAATAACCTGCCCTACATCCCTTTTCCTCTTGACAGCTATATCTTCAGACTGAGCTGCACTCGACTGGGGCAGTGGGCTATTGGATACGTCACAAACGATGGCAACATTCTTCAGACCATCCCTCACAACAAGCCCCTGTTTCAAGCACTGATCGATGGCTACCGAGAAGGATTGTACGTGTGACACTGCCCCTGCATTTCATTACTTTGCTTAAATTTGAAGGCCAGGCGTGAATATACCGAGGGAGCTCCTGCTGTTTTAATAATTGCTGAATTTTAAATTAAAGCATGTGCTTCTCAGTCTTTTGCCCTTAATGAACATTTGATGTGATTTGTAAGTGCCCATTATTATTAAATTAAACTCATTCTTTGTGCTGGCTGGGGAGAAGTAAAAGTATTTACAGAATTTTAGTCGCTAAAAGTCATCTTTATTGTGTAGATGAGGGTAAAAGACAAACGGGGCTTAAGAAAACTGAAAACTTGACATTTTGGAAACTTTGCTTTTTTCACCACCAAGCCATTTCCAATTAAATCACCCACTCAGGGTTTGTACAGTTGTAGTCTGCCATGAAATAGCAGCATTGTTTGAGAGAGAACAAATCCGAAACTAGAGATTGTTCTCAGGGGTTATGAAATAACTTGCAGGCTGTTGATGTGCTGTACAGTCAGAGCCGGTTATTAGGCTGTATGTGGTCGTCATCTGTATTGAACACTGTATTGATGAGTTCAAGAACAGACTGAGCGCCTTAACCAGATGACTGCGTCGACAGGGGCTGCTCCTGTCACAAGAGACCAAGGTTTTTCCCCTACTGATGAAGCATGCAGGCAGATTGGTTGTCAAGTGCGAAACTGCTTTGCATAGTCCGCGATTTTCTTCTGACGATGGCTTCACATGACTTTCTGCTACTAAGAGCCATTGTCAGTTTTTTTTTTAGTTTGAAAACCAGCTAGAGGGCTATCTCGTGCAGAACTGCTCTTTTCCAACGCCATCGTATGATCGGCACACTGCTCCGGAAACTCTTTTTTTGTCCGTTGTCTTTTCAATCTAGATTTCTTTCAGGTTTTCTTTTTTTTTTTCTTCCCGGTGCAGGTTTAGTCAAGGTTGTTCTTCCTTCTAAGAACATTAGGTTTTCCAGAATAGTTATTCCTGTAAATAAACCAGCCTTGGGGAAAAAGTAACACATGTCTGTGGATTGTGATTAACACTTCAGTGCTGCTCTCTTGTTAATGTCTATTCACTTCTCCCAGCCTGCAGTAACAATTTATGTGGTTTTAACCACACCTTAACTGACTGTAAGATATTCTAGACCTTTGGCCTCTTCTTGCAAACACCTCTTTCCATGCTAATTGTCATGGAGTTTTTTTATCTCTTGGACAAATACTTGCTAAATATATTTCAATCATTACTCAGCTCGAGGGGTACATTGTGCTGAGCTAAATGCAGTTTGACTTTTCTCCTCACAGTTGACCAGTTTTAGTTAGCATTGAAGAAAGAGCAAAGGTACTCGCACTTTTGTGAAGTCCTGCCGATGAGGATGCATTAATGCATGAAAACATATTCATTGTTCTGCCCACATAATAAATATGTCTTTTATGTTGGCCTGACAAGACCAAGGTTACAATAAATGTCCCCCCAATTTAATTTTTTCACTCAAGAGTTTTGAATACATTCTGAAATGTTCCTTGCTTTTAAAATGCTTGTTTTGATTCCAGCTACCTTTTCCCTGATGGACGCAGTTACAACCCAGATCTTACTGGTTTGTGCGAACCCATGCCTCACGATCATATCAAAGTCACCCAGGTGAGTTTCAGTCTGGTCTCTGAATGCTCACAGCTTTAACGAGAGCTGTCAAGATGAAAGAGCATTTAAGGTCACATTTTTGAAAGGGGACGTTTTTCATGTTTCTTCGTGTTGTATAGGGATTTCACAGCTTATTTTGTAAGATTTCATTCTCATCTAAAAAGTGACCAAAAAAACAATACGAGAACTTGCTATTTTAGTGAAAAAGGACTTCCATTTGTACTCATAAAAGTGTGGTAAAAACAGTTTTGAAAAATGAGAAATTACTGACATTTTTATTGTATCACTGTACGCTGCTGTTAAATAACATCTGGCAAACAATGTGTGCTGTGTTCTGTAATAGACAGTGTACCGTCATTACCTGTGTCGTCACCTCTTACCCTGTCTGCTGTGTCTGTGTATCGCAGGAGCAGTATGAGCTGTACTGTGAGATGGGCTCCACGTTCCAGCTGTGCAAGATCTGTGCAGAAAATGACAAGGATGTCAAGATTGAGCCCTGTGGTCACCTCATGTGCACTTCCTGCCTGACTGCTTGGCAGGTAATACAGTATAGAGGCAGGAGTGGCCTGTGGGAGGCTGGGCATCTTTTTCCCCTTTAACATTGGCTTCTTGTGAAAATAATACAATTTTTATGGTGATTAACTTGAAGGGTAATAACTTACATGCTTCCTGAAAGGTGCCTGGCCTATAATCAAGTAGCATGCCTGCCATGTGCCTCTTACTGCTCCGCTGGGGTATTTCAATTCTGATCTGCCACCCCTGAGACTCTCATTTAGTCACGGGTCTTTCCCAGCTCTCGAATTGGAAATTGTGTAGTCAGCAACCCTGTACCTGGGGCTATGGCACAAAGACCCCATGGGGATGAATTGTAAGCACTGTTTTTAACTGTTAGACATTTGAACTAAAAGCTATGTTGTTGTATTTTACGTTGACACTTTCAGATATTACCTTTTAACTTCACTTAGCATTCAACCCATGTAGGAAGCACTGAATGAGCTGGTGACAAAGAGTGGAATGGAGCCCCAGAAGGCTTCTAATTGGAGAACATTACGTTTCCATCGTTTGCATCTCAGTGTGTGTCCTTATCAGACTTTATTGCAGATATTAACATTATGGTAATTGATAGAACAGCGAAAGGGGGATGGCAGCGTGTCAGCTGTGGAAGGCTGGTAGTGTTATATGCATGTGTGTGTTTGTAATTACCGGCCTAATGACTCATTAATTGTGCCCCTGGAGATGTTCAGTACCTTTCGTGTTGTGGAACATCTGTGCTTTCTTTCAGTAAATGAATTGAGAAGGATTCTGGGTGTCCAGCAGAATACTAAAGTAAGAGCTGGGTTATTGATTGTTTGCAGAAAGACATTTGCACACAGCATACTTGTATGCACGCTGCTGCTGTAGGGTGTCTTGTGTCTAAGGCCTGCCCCTTGTCTGTTTTAATTGTAGATTTGCAGTCAGAAAGACAAGGGACAAAGATTTGCCCTTAACCATTGAGCAAACAATCATTTTCTGTTTTGCAATCATTAGTGTAGAGAGTCACCGTGGCTAACCAGAGCATTCCCTCGACTGTGTCCCTCAGGCGGGTGATGAGGACCGTGTTAAAACGACATGGTAAACAGTCGAAAGCGCCTCTGTCATTGTAGTGGTTTCAGACTCCTCGCATCGATGTGGGGGATTTCCTCTGAGTCTGGGATTCCCTCCAGAGAAAAACGGCACCCTTGCTAGGGCACTCTGTGCAACATCCTTTGAGCGAGTGAATAACACAGGTGTGAGATAAACGGCCACTTCTTCGGTTCCACCCTCAAAGTCCTTTTGTGTGTCATTCTTTACCATTGTGGGGCTTCTGCATCACCAGGTTGCTGTTGCGGAACAAACATATTTAGATAGTGAGTCACAGCGTTCAGAGAAATTTAAAATGACTGTCCTGCGAGTGTGATAGTTCTGTCGTTGTTTATCTCTAATTTTGAATCATTTATTCAATACAGCACTAATGTTTTACTTGGTACATTATTTTGGTTGTGCTGAGTGGTTTCATAATCACTTCATCATGTTAGACATATTTAACAGCCTGTAAGTAGTTTTCAAGTGTTACCTTAAATGCAATGGTATTGTTTAATCTGGCTGCTGCCGAAGCCGTTAATATTCATTGCTGCGTTCAGAGCAATTTGAAGTTCTGAATTCTGCAATTTGAGAGGCAAATAAAACACGATGCTGAGGAATATGTATTTGATATATTCAGTTCAGACTAAAGGGGAAACGAAGTCGGAACCAGATGAGCACTTAATCTGCAAACGAGACAGCTGAGCCAGAGTTGTGCTGACTGATGAAGATTCCTTGTGATGCATCTGTGGGCTTGTAAAGCTTTTCTTCGGAGTGTCAGTGCAATATTTTATTGCAGCCCGGATTTTTATGGTGCTTGTTACAGTGAGTAATTATAATGAGGTTTCAAACAATGCTTTGATGCCTCTTTTTGAAATCTCATACCAGATGGCAAAACTGACCATTTCTAGTTCTCATTAAATGGCAGTTCCTTAATGTGGAAAGGGAACACAGTTTGTTTTAAAGGTTGTCAGAAATATTTTGATCTTTCACGTGAATATGAGTATTACAGTGTGTGTGTGTATCTTGGTCCATTTGTTTCAAGTGCAAAAACACGACTATGGTTTGGTTCCCTGCTAATCTGTGCAAGCATGTGTCTCATTAACTCAGCTATTTCTTTTTGGTGGAGAAAGGAGTGATATATTAATGTAAAAGGGCATCTGCAGATTAATGAAACCATGCGACTTATAGAGTGCAGCTGGTTGTGATTCTGGATGCAGATATAGTTATAGTTAAAGTCATGTTTATTTGAATATATGATATAGCTTTGGAATTAAAGTATTATGGTTGCCACCATTTTCGTTGATGAAAGCCTCATGTCTTGGTTAGCTTTGGTTTAACACTATCCTAAGGACAGTTTGAAGCAAGAAAAGGCCATGCAGCTCATGTAACTTGTTTGGAAGCTAATTGATCCAAGGATCCCATCAAGACTTTTGCTGAAAGAACCCAGGGCTTATCGGCTCCAACAGAACGCTTGGGCCCCTGCAGTGTGTATTCTGCTTCGCGTTTCAGTGTGTTTTCTGAGAAATCCATGGTGTTGACATAGCAAATGTCTTTGAGGATTCTGAGCACTTGGATCAGGACTCATCATAACCTTCTCTCTTCGAGATTAAAATGGTTCAGTTTTAGTCTGTCAGTATAAGACATTCTTTGAGCCCAGGAATGTTCCTACTTACTCTTCTGTGGACTGGTGCCAGAGTAGCAGGGGTGACCAAAATTATACAGGGAACACTGTTTTGAAGGGAGGGAAGGGGAGTTATTTTAAATAAAAAAATGCCTTCGAAGGTGGTTTCTGAAAGCGCTTTTCGTAATGAGAACAAAAAAATACGCAAGTAAGAGCAAAGGGATATATAACAGAACCTTTTCTAAAGAATTTAGATCTGAAAGAGTTTTGGGAAGGAGACTTTGTGATATACTTAAGTATAGAGTTCCAGAGCTCTGGGGTATAACAGCAGAAGGCCCTGTCACCCCTAGAGTGTAGTCGGGCCTGGGAGACAGACAGGAGACCAGAATTAGAAGAGCGAAGGTTGCGAGGTGGGGAGTAGGACAATAGTAGCTTCTACAGGTACTGAGGTGCCAAGTCATACAGAGCCTTGTAGGTGTGCATGAGGATTTTGAAGTCGACTCAGAACCTGACAGGAAGCCAATGCACGGATTCCAGGATAGGAGTAATCTGAACACTTGCGCTAGATCTGGTCAGGATTCTGGCTGATGATATTTGGACATAAAAAACTTAAATAATGCAAAAGCATGACATTCAAAGCTGTTCGAACCGGTGTGTTTCTAGTAAGATATTGGAAATCCGTTAATCGGCTGACGTAGGAAACTAATTCAGCTTAGCTTATGCGTTTCACTTAAAACTGGCTTGCTAACTCACGTCAACAAGCTTCCTGTCCGGGGAAGCCCAGATACAAGGCACCACTGAGGAGTGCCAGCCTTTCGTGCGCCGAGAACCCAAAGGCCTCACCCGCGCGTCGTTGTCTCCCCTGTTCCCGCAGGAGTCGGATGGCCAGGGCTGCCCGTTCTGCCGCTGCGAGATCAAGGGGACGGAGCCCATCATCGTTGACCCCTTTGACCCCCGGGACGACGGGCCCAAGAGCTGCGGCTTCATGGACCAGTTCGCTTCTCCCATGCTCGACATGGATGAGGACGACGACCGAGAGGACTCGCTGGTCATGAACAGGCTGGCGTCTGTCAGGAAGGTGCGAGAATCACTCGGGCAACTTCGTGGACATGGGTGGTGGGCGGAGGGACCGGTGGACGGTTAGGAAGTGACTCCTCTTTACAATTCCACCACGGTGCTTCAGTCTCTCTAATTTCGGTTGCGCTGTAAATCTCAGATGACTCTAGGAAAACGCCTCTTTCTTTGTCCTTACATAATTTAATACCCGTACTTAATGACCTTAAAAGAATTTTCAGGCAGCAGGAAAGTGACAAATTGGACCAGTATTCTATTTATAATGTATTACTAAGAAATCCTCCACAACGGTTTCAGTAGCATTTTGCTGAAGCTTGAGAAGTGTGTTAAAACGGAACTAACGCAGGCTTTTCTTTTTTGCTGTTCTTTACAGCTCTGTGTTTCTGTTCCTTATTCTGTTATTCATCCATAATAAAATCATTTCCTTTGGACTTGGCTTGACGAACATGCAGCTCAGTTACAGTCTGCAACTTCATCGGTAAAGCGGATGGTAATTTAGCAAGTTGCCGCTACCATCGTAGTTTCCGTCGAGACCCATTCGAGGTGCTCACTGTGCAATCTACGGTGTGGGGAAAATGTGACCCTGAAACGTATGTAACGCTGTAAAAAAAGCGGATACTTGATGCTGTGTATCATACGTGAAAAAGCTGTTCCTTTGCTTAAAATCAGTTTGATGAGTCATGAGAGAAAATGCAGCCCAACTGCATTAATTAGGGAGATTAATGTGGTATTTAATGTGATCATAACGAAACCATTTCGTCACACCCAGTAAATGGCTATACCTGCATAAACATGAACACAAAGAAAATTAGAAGCTATGCTCATCCAGCGTGTTCAGTAGTTTCTAGCACTAATCCTCAGCATTCATACAGAGTGAATTATAGAGGCAAATGTTTACTTTTGAGAAATCGGCAGCAGTGACAACACTTAATTGGAACTGCACGTTATTGTCACCATTATTGGTGGAACCTTAGGAGTGATCTGTGACGTGCACATTGCATACAGAGTTACTTGTTTGTTAGCCTTTTAATTCCTTTGGATTTAGTCCATCAGTCGAAATTGATCTTTGCGATTGCTTTCTACATCATGCTCATGGAAGGAGGTAACACATGAGAAGAAAGCAGTTTATTTATACTTGTCAATACCTCATAAGAACACAAACAAGAGGAGGCTTTACAACCCATGTAGTGCCCTTAGTAGTTAGTAGTTTATTGATCAGAGGAATGCGTTCACATGTTTCTTGAAAGAAATCAGATCATTGACTTCAACAACAAACCTGGATGGATTGTTCCTTACCCCCCACATCCCTTTGGGTCTAGAGGTGCCTCCTGCTCTCAGTTTAAAATGCGCTTCCACATAGTTTCCATTTGCCCCCTCTGGTTCTTGTTACAACACTGGTAACTCTGAGGGAGATGATGTCTAGCACCAACGTATGTGTGCATCTTTGCATTTCGTTATAAAGGGAAATGTTAGATGGGGGGTCAAAATGTTTGGTAGTGCCATGTTTGTGGGATGTTTGTTTTATTATATGTACATAGACTGAAAAATATCAGCACCCGGTGGGGGGCGGGGGTGTGTACACCCGCCTAGCTCAGCGTTCTGATAAGGCTGATGTGGGTTTCTGAAACTGATGTCACAGCTGCAGGGCTGAAGCTGTGGGCTCCCGAGCTGATGAGCGCAGATAGGGACGCCGACAGAGACGGGCTGTTTTTGTCTCCCTCCGCTCCAGTGCGCGGACAGGCAGTTCTCCCCGGTGTCGTCCCCCAACTCCTCCCCGGTGGCTCAGAGGAAGAAGCCCCTCCCGGACCCGGCGAGCATCCAGCACCTCAGCCTGCCTCCTGTCCCGCCCCGCCTGGACCTCATCCAGAAGGCTGTGATCCGCTCCCCCTGTGGCAGCCCCACTGGCTCCCCCAAGGTCTGTTCTACCCCCCCCCGTACTCCACCCAGATTATCCCTCAAGATCTCAATTTTCATTACTTTCGTTCATTTTCATCTGTTTTTCACAGCACCCGTGCTTGGAACCCCATGCACACGCTGGCATGTGCCCATTGATTAATGTCAACGTATCCGAGAGCCCAGTCTTTCCCGATTTGGATGTATTTATTTTTAAATATTGAACATCCTCGTGTGGGAGTGACAATCATGAAGGGAGAAGAATGAGCCACAGCTCCTGCATAAGCTTTCTGTACCATCACAAGCTTTCTGGACGATGTAACGGCTGCGAAACGCTGAAGCGTCAGATCTCCCCGTGCTCGCGGTCTCCGCAATTGAAACCATGAGCTTAACTCCGAAATCTGAAGTACCCGAATGGTTCATATCGATTGGCTCCTGACAGCACAAACGCAACGTAGTGCGATGGTATTGCCGCATATTCAGAGTTTCGCCTAACATGTGAAACATTGTTGCCTCGGTGCCTCTGATATACGTGTAAGAGTAGGATAAAGTTCTAGGAATTAAAATAGGGTTAAACTGCACATCAATAAGAGGTGTGAAAACGCTGAATCTATTTAGAATGTCATAACTTCCTGGCTGCTGTGGGTAGAGAGTTCTTTGCTGTAAAGCGCGGTGTTGCTGGATGTGCCGTGGCCTGTGTGACCTGTGCTTATTTTCTTTGTCAGTCCTCTCCCGGCATGGGCAGGAAGCAGGACAAGCCACTGCCAGCGCCCCCACCTCCTCAGAGGGACCCGCCTCCCCCTCCGCCCCCGGAGAGACCCCCTCCCATCCCTCCGGACGGCCGGAACGCCCGACTCCCCCATCACTTCGCGGGCCTGCCCAGGGATCCCCACCCGCCCCCGGAGGCCCGGTGCCCCAGGGAGAGCCTGGCCGACAGCCGATCGGGGGCTGACCGCTCTCCCAAACTGGGCCATTCTGCCCCCTCCCATCTTAACGGGAGGCCTGTTAGCTGCTTTTCCTCAGACCCGGCCTTTGGGCGGCCCCTTCAAAGACCTGACCTGATGGCAGACAGCACCAAGGTGAGGAATTCAGAGCCTTATTACAGCTTCACAGGGGACCCGTCGTGGCCAAGGAAATCCCATGTGTATTTTGGCATTGCTGTCGTTTGTATAAAGGGGCTCAAGGGGTTCATTGTGTTGTTCAATGCCGTCTTGAACAGTGATTTTAAAGCCTAATGTCTAATATCGCACTAACCGCTAGTGACATTTTTCAGAAAAATGTGGGAACGCTGACAAAGAGGGAATTATGCACAACTACTTTGATAGTGGGCCGACGCTTCACAAGATCATTGCCATACTTGGCCATATCGGGACTACATTTCAGAAAACCTATGTTCTCTGCTTCTGCAGATGGCATTGTTATAATTAAAGAATTAACAGCAGGGCTTGAAAGGAGAAAGCGTACATTGGTCACGCTTAAGAACAGTCAAGTATATCAATGCTGATTGCTTAAGTTCTTTTCACATCAAAATCTATTTTAAGGAGGAATAAAAGCTCATTTTTTTTATAGATCTGTTGCTTAGTAACAAGGACGGAGCTAGTTATTCCAGGCATTGGGCTGTGAATTCTGGCAGAACAAAATGTTTGGAGCTCTCCCTGGTTGTCATAAACATTAGGGTTTGATTTAAAATGTTCAGCAGATGAGAGACAATAAGTGCATTAAGAATGCATGTGATATCATTGTTTTGCTTTTACTTAGGCTATTTAAAACAGATTAAGAGTATTTTATCTCCAGCTCCTGGATTTATGTTTTGGTGCATTGTAGAAAGTACGCCCCTTCACCCCTAGAACTTGATATATATATATAATCTAGTTTTATGGCAGGTTTGGAGGGTCTTTTTTGTAAATCTGCTAACCATTGAAAACGGGAGACAAGCTGGCATCATCTGGCCCCATGTGACTGTTGCTGTGTAGCTCACGAGCATTAAGATATTAAATATAAATCCCAAGCTTATGAGTGACATTTGAAACGGACTGGGGGAGCAGCATGCCTCTCATTAGAAATCACTGGAGGCTTTGATGGCTTTGGAGAGAACTTTAGTTTAATTCATGACATCGTGTCTGACCACAGAAGCTTTTTTTCGTATTTAAGAGCGAATCATATGTGCAGGAGGGGAAAAGAAGTACTGCTACTTTCTGTTTGTCAAGCAAGCCCCCAGATCCCAAGCTTTCTTCTAGCACGGTGATAGAAGACCACCCATTCATTCCATTATGGCACACCTGTCGAAACCACAGTAAAGACTTCAGACGTCAGATGTGATTGTTTTAAGTTTCTGTAATTCTTTTTAAATTAGGTACACACACACAACGCCAGTCGCCTTATGACAGGGTCCTTTAACAGCAAGGAAATAATAGCGAAAGGCTGGAAGTTAATGTTTGTCTGGTGTCTGGTGTTTTGCTAAATCGGTTAACATTTCTCATTCTCTAGTTGCATGGACATCTTTTCCATGCTGTCTTAATTTTAAGCAAGGTTAACGAGGTTTTGAATTAATCATTGATGGGCTCCCCAGTGCTGCCTATGGTTTTGCATACAGGCTCTACGAAAAAGCTTGTTTGAGTTACAGGTGTCATTACCAAAACCTGAACTGATTCCTTACAGAGAGGAGTTAAGTTTTTATTCACGTTCTAGAACAGGTCAGCTTTGATATCAGCAGAGTTTGCTCCACAACACTGTTTTTATAGAGGATATTCCTCCCAGGATAAGAATGTGTACCTATTCTGGAAAACAACGGTCTTTACATTTGACTTAACACGGGTGCTGCGTTGAATAAAACTTGTACTTGATTTTAATGGTAGGACTTCCAAGCGGACATTTTCTTTTGTGCTCTGTCTTTCAATTTGGGTGTCAGAATGAATACTGGGAGGGCAGCAATGTCAGAACTCTTGTTGGCACTTGGTTTCCACTGGGAATTGTCCCCACTGGTGGAAATCGTCCTGCGCTGAGAGTGTGAGAGAGCGTGTTCTGGAAAGCCTTTGGTTCTGTATTGTAGTACATCCTGGCCCTTCCATTCTGGTGTATGTTACCACACTAAATCTGTCTGTTGTCTGTGCTTTTACAGTGTAATAATATGACTTATATGGTACTTATTTTGGAACATAAGGCAGTCAATTTTATATGCATCTAAGATGTTTATCTAAACTTGGAGGGGAGATAACTCGCTGACCTTTGTAGACTGGCTTTTCCTGACTATGCACACTTGTTTATTTTTGTAGAGCAGATTTTGCCCCACCCACATAAAAAAGACTTCTGGAGACAAAGATGCCTGCCTGCTTTTTCGTTGAAGCAGTCAGTTATTTAAGAAAAGACTCCCTGCCATACCACAGTAAAATGTAACATGCGAGCACTTTATTGAGTTCATGATGTTCAAAATAAGCATTTTAGGACATTATTTGTTGTTTTTTCTCTTAATCATCTGAGGCTGGGTACTGGGTACAGAAAATAGTATAGTGAGCATCAGAGGAAAGTAATCTTTTATAAAAGCAACAAATAAAACAAGTTTGTATCAGGTGCACTGACAATTTACTGACTAGATAAGATACAGGTAAATTAATGGGCCTGATTTATCATTCATAATTATACGGGGGGTCTCCTGTGAAAGTCGCAGATAAATTTGTACATTTGGGATGCCTGCTTTGCTCCAGGTTGCAGGTGGCGTCTTGTGGGATTCTTCCCCCTTCCAATCGCAGAGCAAGACAAGCAAGCACGTGCCTGTTCTCTGGTCCCTGAGCCAGCCCTAGATGCCACATATTGTCTCTCAGCTCATGCCACACATACTCAGTGGGGCACAAGCCTGGCAAGTAAGGCATCTGCAATGTTGCTGTTGCATCCTCTTGTCTCCAGAAAGCCTGTAGGCCTGCAGGAATGTTGTCCCGTCAGGATGAGCCTGCAGGAAGGGTAGCAAAGTGAGGTCTCAGAACTTGTAGCACTGCGCAGTAACACGCTCATCAATCTCTAGAAGTGGAGTTCTCAAGTGACTCGACACTTCTGCACAGACCATTGCACTTGGAGCTCCCCACGGCTTGGGCAGTCGTACACAACGAGCTCTTCACCTCAGCATCACACTGGCTGATTGGAACAAAACCCTGAGTTCTTGCTCTTCTTTCAAGATTTGCTTGTTCTCTTAAGAAGGGTTTTTTTATTGGTTCCTTTGTGTGGTTTTCTTTCTTGATTGTCACAAGTTTCCATTTACTTTTCATTCAGTAGGTTAAATCTCCTTGTCGCCCATATCCATTCGACTCTCTTACTACTGAGGTCATTTAGTGCTTGCACAAGAGTCACTTGGGTGTAACACCTTCCGTCATGAATGCAATGATGCCAAACATTTAAGCAATCTATACTTATATTTTTATGCATAGAGCAAGATTTTGATGCTCACTATATATTGGTACTTCAGTGGAATATTCCTATATACCATAAAGTTTGGAAGATTTGCATACTAATTGCTATGGTTGAAACATCTGGCTTCTGAATTTCGTAATTGCCGTAAGGCTCTCATTCTGCAGCTTGTCTTCTCCTCTTGGTGAATACTTTGGATAAAACTATAATCTGATGCGGCGTGAAATAAAAGGTGTTGACATCACTGATCTGCTTCTGACCGCCTGTTGCAAAAATCTGCTTTTTATCTTTGACCAGTGAAAATTGTGAAATAAAGGCATCAAAGCTTGGGTCTCTGGTGTCTATCACGTCCTAATATTCAGTGCTGATTGCTTCGTTATAATGCATCTTAAGATGCTACTTTTTTAACGCAGGCACCTTATAGAAGATCTTGTCTACGTTGCTGTAGCCCGATTTTCTAATGAGACGTGGAAACACTGCACTTATTGTGTTACCATCCTGATAGCACAAAACAAGGAATTTAAATATATATATACCGATTTAGTAGAAGTATTCCTCATGAGAGACTCGGAAGTGTGTCATATGAGCAAAGAAAACTCTCCTTTCAACATCTGTAATATCTAGGGTGTGTTTGTCCAAACCAGAGAGCACTGTCTGGCAGGGCATTAGTGATCTGAAGTGTCAAGACACAGTGCATGGTGGTTCGACGTTTTTATTTCATTTTGGGAATACAGAACGTTACAGGCATATTGGTCATTTTTAAATATCTGCCAAGTATTTCATCACCTCTGCAAAATAAGAGTAGAAGAGTGTGGCTTGAGCTGCCAGTTGTTAAATGGCAGCTTATCAGCTCTCTGTTGTAACCACGGTCTTCATGTCTATCCACAGCCTTTCACCAACGGGCTCCTCTTGAGCGATGAGTACGACATCCCTCCTCCTCGCCACTCTCCTCCACCGCCCTTCCTCACCAGCAGCCAAAAGTGAGCAAGACTACTGGGAATATGTTTGCCTATATGGTGTACAGTTTTACTGAGAGACTCGTAAGAGAAAACAAATCCTGATTTCTGTAAGGATCCAGCTCCATTCACTAACTCATTTCGCCATCTGGAGTGGATACTGGATGTTTTATGGGAAAAGATAATGACATGTTAGACAGTACCACTCCAGACGGAAATTAATTGGTGGTCCACAGACATTTTGCTTACACTGAGTCATAAAGCTTGAACTGTCATTAGGAGCTTCCATCTGCCTTGTTTTGCTGCCAGTCCTTCTTTGGGTCCTACCGTTTGTGAGCTGTGAACGAGAGCTGTTTGGCTATGTGCATCAATTACCGAGGAATTTCAGGTCCTGCTGCAGCTTAGTCTCCCTGTAAACATGGAGTAGAAATCATAAACCTCAGCAGTTGTTTTGTAACCATAAGCCCCAATATTATTGTGTTCAAAGCCAGCCATCTTGTAGGCTACAGTACTGCAAGTAGTCATTTTGTTGGCCCTGTATGCGATCAGATATGTGGCAGGTAGGGATTTTGGGGATTAGAGCTTCAAACTGTATTCAGACTTTCTTTCAGAGCTAATGAACCCTGGTTGTATAAAAAGGGTTTAAAATAGAGAGGCTATGCCCACTTCCCACTTTGGTAATTACTGTGCCTGAATGAAAGTTGTAGGAAATCCTAAGTTAAGACACACTATCTTCTCTCTACCCTTAAATGTTCACTTTGTAGCTGTGGGAACTCTTGAGGTTGCTTTCCTCACTACTAAAGCAAAAATTACAACCTCTAGGAGACCTTTTTGTTCCAATGTAAGTTGAAACATACTTGTCAGGAACATAATGTGAGCTCTGTGGGGAAAAAAGGTCATACCTTCGCCAGTATGATGAATATTTTTTTAATGTTGGTTATTGTGTCTGAACACCTGAGTCCTTGTGCTTTTGCAGACATAGTAAAGTTATACGGCAAAATGCCACCAGCCCCATTTGTAAAACTACTGTGAGCTACTGTGCTTTTGAGCTGAGCACTAAGCTGTTATATGTTTATTTTGGATCTGTATTTAGGAATGTTCCCCGAGATAAAGGTCTTTGCTTTTAAAGTACTAAACATAGAGCCTTTTCTGTCGATTTTAAGTGTGCCTTTTAATAGATTCTTTATCTGGAGGTTATTTTTACAAACCTTTTTTTGGGGAAGAACAATATGTCCAGCAGCCCACGTGCACCTTTAAAATTCTGCATTGGTGTAATTTCTCCCTCTACAGGATGCACGCGGAATTGCAACACTTCTGTCTGCATTCCGGAGTGTCTGTTTCGTACAGGAAGCTGGAATACAGGCAGCGTGCCTCTTAGTGAGGGGCACTGCCCTGCGGTGCCTCAAGGCCATTCCTTAGATGAAGACACCACAAAATATTTAGTGGTTATTTGCCGTGTTCAGTTAGCTAAAATATTAGCATTTTTTTTTGCTGGTGTTGACGAATATGAATCGAATTTTAAAAGAATTAGTAAAAACCACAGTTTTATTTATTTTCTATAATCCTCTTAAAAATGATTACAATTATATGTATGATAGACTTGTTCACGAAAAAAAAAAACCCTGTGTCCCTTAGCTCCCTTTTCTTTTAGAGTTTTACTGTGTGTTTGATCACCATCCTATAGATGAGTTGGTTATTGACTGCGATATACCTGCAAGGCAGAGTACAGGCCTGTCTCTCCCGAGAGTCCAGCTCCACTTAAAAACACTTCGCCGATATGCTAAAAACACCATCGACTACTCCACACACCACCTCCGTCTTCCCTGTTCTTCTGACTTATAACCAAAAAGAAGATCATGCTGCCCTTTTATTTTTCTGCCCAGTTTTCAATCATTTATCAGAAACCGTTTTCCCTTTCTCTGGGTTTCAGGCCAGAATGACTCAGACTTCCTTACTGGGGTACAGCCCAGTTCATTTTGATTGTAGTTGAATGTTGAGTTGGGGGACTGTAAGTGGAGCTGAAATGCTTGTGTCACTACTGTGCTTCAGGTACCCCAACCCTTTCACCAACATGTGCTTGGAGAGACCTCGGGCGCAGGCAGACAATGAGGAAGATGAGTATCAGATCCCTCCATCTCACCCGGCCTCCCTTACACCACAGCTCCCTGTCTGCATCTCTGTCAGGATTCCCAACAGGTAAGAATCTGATTGTTTTTTCCTGTCGTTTGAGATCTATAGTATGCATTCTTTTATTTGGGGAAACCATTCTTCAGGCTTATCATTCATACCTTCGTAGTAGAAGAGTTGGCATAAAACCTTGTGGCAAGAGCTTTATATTGGTGCATTTTTTTATCGATACAATTTTACAAAGTAAAATTAAAATCTGTAAGGGGTAACCACTGTGCGATGGCAGCTGCAGTTCTGATTGGACAGTCATTTTAAAGAAATTGAATCCAAAGCTGGAATATAACTAGATAAAAAACGGCTTGCTGTGCACATACCTGAAAAATTGCAAACTAGCAGTTTTTCACACAGACAGAGCAGTAGTATGAAGTGGTTTCCAGTACAACCATTGACAGTACTTGCTGGTATTGCGTCTCTTGCAGGGGGCAGGAAGACGGGCTGTGTCTCAATGGGGCATCAGACCATGCTGGTGCAGAGGGGAGGAACCACAAGTTTCTAGAGCATGGTAATGCAACTCAGTGGCATGTTGAATTCTGGTTACCTTTTCATTTCCCAGTCTGTGGATCTCGGGAGCAGTATAACTGACTGGCACTTTCTACAGCCATGTTCACAGCACCTCTGCTTAAGCTGCACGGCATTGTGAAGCAGCAATGGCCCGATTTCATTCTGGCTCTGCCTCCACGTAACATAACTGAAGTGCTCACCCTGACTGGGACACGGGGCAGCCAGCTGAATGTTGGCAGTGCCATGCCGAGAACCAGTGTAGTTTACCCTTCTGCTTGTGTTTCTCAGGTGATCACTGTGACTTGCCCTCTGGTTTGTTTGAGTCCTGGGGGCCACATCCTGCTGCCCACCCCTCCTACAGCAGGACCCCCTCTGACTACGACATCCTGGTGCGCCCCCAAGGTAGCCCCCACACTCAATGGCCTGCCTGCTCTCTTTTCCAGCCACCCTGAGAATGATCTTTATGGCAGACTGGCATGCTCGCATGTCTGTAGAGCACGTCTAAAAGCATTTCTCCACCTCGGTCCTCAAATCCCCAAGTTTCTGGGTGTTGCCCCACTCATGGGGAAAACCCCACCCCCCACCCGGCTCTATGCAGTGTGACCCTGTCCAGAGTACAAGCCCTGCCTGTGAATGTGTGAGAGATTCCAGCAGCACCGCCTTGTTTTAAATTGAAGTGTGAGTGAATCTGAGTTATGCCAAGAATGCATGAAAGAGTACAAGTCTATTGCCAACTTGGCACTGAAGCATCTTGTGTCGAAACTCGTACAGCAATCACTGAAAAGTGTGTTCTTTTACCTCATGTGCCTTACGTGGAACAAAATACTGTTAGCTAGATAGTTCAGTGTGATAAAAACTACATTTTTGCCTTCAGCTGTACCAGGCAGATGGAGGTTCTTGTTATTTAACCAGAAGAATTTAAGGGCTTAAGGATCCTTAAAGTTCTTGGCAGCATATTGCCCTATGAGACAAATAATGTGCCATATGTAATGATAAGATGGTAATGCAGTTTTAACAGGGTAATGTTGTGAGGTGGAAATAAAAGGAGATTTAGTGTTTTCTGAAAGAACATAGAAGTACTCATTCTTCCACTTCAGATTGAAATTTATTGGGGGGGTGAAATATGAATTTTAATGTGTAGTGCAATATCAGAAGTAAGTTGAAGAAGATTGTAGCATGAGGCTTTAGTATTCCAAAAAAAATAAATAAATATTGCATAAACTAGGATTGCATTGAGCTAATATAAAGCGCAATTTACCTTATGCTATGAGGAACATCTTTGCCTTGTGACAGCATGACTCAGTGACATCCGCACACAAACTTCCCTGGGAAATAACTTCCGCTCCGACTGGCTTCAGTTCTACCTAAAATAAAGTCGGTAGATATTTAAGCCCGTTTGATTGCGAGTACTCTTTGCTGTAACGCCGACTAGCTTTTTAATATAACCACCTCGTGAGAATTCGCGTTTCCCAAACATCGCGATCAGTGCCCGCCGGAGAATCGGTTTACAATAAATCAAGTCTTTTGAATCTGTTTTAGCGGCCTCTAGTGGCGGCGCCGCGATTGCACCCAACGAAACGGCCTGACCACCACATTTCGTTTATGTCAAAATAAACTATATTCAAAAACGGAAATAATTTTAATACACCTCAGACGTGAGAAAGGTGGTGTGTAATTGTTTCAAAATGTTGTTTAAATGTGAAAGTATGTTTTTGTTCAATGTCAAATGCATTTTACTTTGTCAATGAAGTTTATTCGCCTAAATTATATATTAAGATACAGACCACATATGTTTATATTTAAAAAGATTCAATTGCATTCTATAGGACTGTGTAGTCACAAGAAATAAGTAGCTGGGATCATCTTTTATGATGAAAATCATTATATTAAAGGAATTACTATGCCTGCACGCTTTAGATTTTGAGCGAAACGTTGGCGACCTCTAGTGGTGTCATCGGTGGTCATTTTTGAAGGACTTCATCTCTGACACTTGACTTTAGGCAGTTTGTTTTGTTTGTCTCCTTCCAGGTGAGGACATCTTTGATACCCTGCCACCTTCTCTGCCTCCTCCTCCTCCCCCTGCCAGGCACAGCTTCACTGAGATCTCTTCCGCCTCCTGTTCGCCCTCCTCCTCCTCCTCGGCATCTTCCTCGTGCCCCAAAGCCAGCAGCTCGGGCAGTCGGCCTTCGTCTGGACATGATGCCTTTCTGCTTAACCCTGGTGAGGCGTCGGAGACTGGAGCTGCTTTTTAAATTATCCTCTTATCACACAGGCGGAGCAGGCCCCTTTTTCTCCAAACACTGCATACTGGAATTTTCCATTTCCGCTTCCACTAATCTCCCTGAGTAGAGAAAGCACAGACCTTTAAACCTTCAGATGAGTGTTTTTTCCCCTCACACCTGGAAGACTGAATCCGGGCTGTAAACTCTGTATGCTTTTTCTGCGATGCTAATGTAAGTGTGTAAGTTTTCAATTACAAACAAAATATTTTACAGGCTGTTTTTATAATTTTGTAGAACACCGTTTTACACCTTGGTGTCAAGTTTTTTACAAACTGCAGAAGAGAATCCCTGACCTAAATACCCAGGAATTATGTGCTGTCTGCTTTCAAATATTTTAGAATGTTAATCATAGAATAGAGACGTGCTTTTTGGGCTTTTATCAACCATAACGCAAAAAGTTGTAATTAATGAGGCAGTCATTAAATGATTTTTAATTCTTTGAGTGTGGGTTACTTAGCAAATTAAGGTTTAAAAAAAGTATTTTAATCTGAACTAGTACAGTTTGAGATACCGGAACAATAATTTTAACATATCAACTGTCTTCTTGGTATTTGTGTACATTATTGTATTTATGTATCTGAAGCCTAAATTAGTGATTCACGTGCACATTGTCTGCTATTTCCACTCTATGGTCACACAAATTCCAGAGCATTAAAAAAATGCATTCTGATTTTATTTCTGATTTTATTTTTTTCTGGTTGTGTTTGAAAGTTACCGTTTCTTTTCTGTTACCTTTATTTCTCTCTGCTGTTTTGAATGAAAAAATGCAAACCATATCGGCAGATTGCCCTGTGAATTCAAAGTTTGTTATTACATTTTTGGGATGTTTTCTCGGCACATTTCTAATTTTCACAAAACCGATACAGCAGAAAATAGGAAATGATCTGAGTGAGGTGGCCAGGAGGAGAGTCTAGCACCCTCTAAGCTGTTGGGTCCTGGGTTTGAAGTTGGCCTTGGACACCTTTTTGGTAGAGTTTGAATGCTCCCCCTCTGTCCACAGACGTTTTCTCTGGTTTTCTTCCCACAATCCTGAAACACATTGTCTAGGTTAATGGGTGTCTCTAAATTTCCCCTGGTGCATAAAGTGTCTGCCCTGAGATGGATATCGATCCAGGGGGTGTGTCCTGTTTTCCACCCGGTGGCTGCCAGGTTTTGCAAAATGGATGGACCTTGTGAGTGACTGACATGCAATTTCCATGTGGTTTGTGTTGAATGCGCAGAGAATTTCTTCGACGTGCTCAGTGGTGCAGCTCCGCCACCTCCAGTGAGAAGGCTGACTGGAGAAAACATGAAGCCCCCGGTGAGGATCTCCCAGGAGTACGACCAGCTGCCCCCCACAGGTACCGATCACACTCCGGGCTGCTGCATGCACAGAGAGCAAGCCGATTAGAATTGAATGATTTTCAAAATCAAACCGTTTGCCATTGCACAGTAGATTTTGGACATTGTTGTCTGTGTCGGAAAAAAACATGGCATCAGAAGTCAGTCAGTGTTTTTGTATCTCGTTCTTGTTTGCAATATAATTAGCAGTGCTTCTGGGGAAAGAATCTGCGCAATCATGCATGAGGTCCAAATTAAAAAAAAAGATTGTTCAGTTTGCAAAATGTACAAAAACCATCACGATATTTGTCAAAAAAATGATAAGAATGGTTGCTGCACCTGGCTGTGCTGTGGGGCCTGGAGTGAGATCGCGTCTCTCCTTGCAGTTCTTGCAGACAGTGTACAGGCACCAGCCAGGCCGCCCAAACCGCTCCCTCGCAAGACCCCCCCAGAGGTCCACCAGAGGAAGACGCACAGCCACGAGACGGCCGCCGAGCACGACGCCAAAATCGCCAAACTGATGGGGGAAGGGTACTCCTTTGAGGACGTGAAAAGGGCGCTGATGATTGCCCAGAACAAGGTGGACGTGGCGCGCAACATCCTGCGCGAGTTTGCGTTGGTGGCCCCGAGACTGAACCTGTAGGCCCGGTTCGACCATCAGGGAGAACGAGGACTTCGAAGCCGCCGGAGGAATTTGGATGGGGGGCGAGAAGTGCCCTCGTTGCCGTTGCTAGCTTTCCTCTGTGTCGTGTGTGGGCTAAGACGGAAGAGGAAAACGAGATGAACCGAAACCTCGCTCGTTTTACTCGGAGACTGGAGCAATGCGCAGCTGCTTGTCTTAGCCATAATGAATCAGGGTTGAACCGAAGAAAATAAAGTTTACTCCTCCTCGAACATTAAACCTGTGAAAAGCTTGTTGTTTACAGTGGACAGCTGGGTCTCTATGGCAGCCGTGCGGTTGGCTTGTTAGGGCTGTTATTTTGTTTCCTGTTGCCAGGCAATTGTCTGTTTCTGTGCCGTGGATCCATTCTGCTGCTGCCACAGCATTCAAAGCCCCCCCCGCCTTCTGTCCTCGCACCCCGTCTGGGGTTTACTGGCGGGTAGATCAGGATGGGCATCGACCTCTTTGTTTTCCTCTCCCCCCAACCCCTCATGCTTGTTATTGGACTTTGCGTTTCATTTCAATCGTCCGAACTTTGCAAAAAAAAAAAACGGAACAAAAATAATCCAAACGCATGTGGCCTTCACTACTGAATCTTTTTTTTTTATTTCTGAGAAACTCTTTCTGTGTAGACAAACTCGTTTTCTGAATGTAGAGTGCATTATTTTGTGAAAAGGAGAAAAAGGATGTTTCCCGAAGTCGTCCAGTGGCTTAACACTTTGTGTGAAACCTTTTAGAAATGTTCCAAGTCGGCAAACGTGCTCTTTACTAGGGTGCAAAGCTGTGTGTGAAGCAGTCCTTTGAGTTGTCACCCATTAGCATTCTGATGACGCGTTGTGCAGATGACGTGCTCTTCTGTGGTGTGTCTTAGTGGCTTCGTCACAGCAGGGATGGGGAACGGCCTCACAGCCCTCAGTGAAATGCTCTTGCTGTTTTGCGACGTCGTGGGTCTGTTGGATCGCTCTCTGGCATGATTCTGCATGGCTTTTCTGCTGCAGACTGAAGTTGAGTTCAAAACTTACATCCTGGCAGTTTGTGGCTTACAAATGCTATCCTTTTTTTTTGTTGTTGTTCCTCTGGAAGGAATTTATTTGAATGTACATTTTTTAAGAACAGTTTTAGTATTCGTCCATATTGCTCTCTTCTAGTCACTGTTACAACGAGTGGCCTTCCCTTCCATTTCCAAAAGGAAGAGTCTTGAATGTATTTGTACTGGATGGGAAAGGAAGCTGCATTTTATAGTCCTAGCCACAGACAGGTGTTGGTAATTGCCTCTAGTTATTTTGTCAGCTACTGGGACAAAAAAACTCGACCACAGCAAAACGGATGGTGTCTTCATGTGCCAAAAAATATCCATTATGCCGTAAATTAGTTGTAGAGGTAGGCTAGCCTTGGTTTTGAACAATACACAGGAGAGGGTGTTTTCTAAAATTCCATGATTTTTTTCCCCCAATTATTTTATCACAGAAACGTTTCACATGTTGCCTCTTTGCAAATTAAACTGTATGATGGTAAGAGTATTTTACAATGGAAAATCGAGCTGCATCTATTGAACTTCCCCACTGTGACTGGAGTGTAATCAAGTCTGTTCCAGGGCCGATTTCCAAATACAGAAGATTTGTTCCCTTCGGATCCAGTCAAGCTACCTTAGAAATGGTGTGGACTAAAACCCTCCCAAAACATGCATCTTAAAAATCAAAAACTGAAATGGCAGTTAACTGTACCTTGAACTAAAACCAATCTAATTCTTAATGCAGGGCAAGACTGCCTCTTGCCATTTGTAAGTTAATAAGGCTATACATCCCAGTTGTGTGTGAAAGTTATCTGGCACACAAATGCTTATTTTCTGGGAGGGCTTCATGTGAGCAAGTTTAACCAGGATCTGAAAAGAGCCTTGGGCATGAGCTTACATTGCATATGCCTTGATGTTCCCTGTTATTTATTACAATGTGAATTTGCTCTTGTGATACCAGTTGCATTTCTTTCCTCCTGTGTTCAGGTTTTACAAAATGAACTTGAAGCTTTATTTTGCACTGGTTCTCTCTTTCTTTGCGTCTTAAACTTGAAAGTCCAAAACTGGTTTAAGTCCATCCTTGCCATCCTAAAGAAGGGTGGTTGATTTCAGGTTGCAGTAAAGAGGTTTTTCTTTGTGCTTTTTTTTTTAAAGGAGAAAGTATTTGTCAAAAAAATGCCTTGTCTAACATGTAAAACAGTGATGTGTGCAATTAATTTATATTTTATTACAGCATTCTCTAGATATTTTTCCATTTTTCAACAGTTCAGTAACCTTTAATCTGTTCTTGTGAAAATGTTTTATAAAAACAGTATTAACATCCAAAACGTGTGCGTGGGGGTCTTTCATTTTCTGGATGAAGAACTGAGCTGTTAATTTACAATTTAGGGAAACTTGTATTCTAGAGTGAAGACCAGTAGTTTTGTTGTGGTAGGCTTGGAGGCTTTTTCGTGAAAAGTTCCTATTCCAGACAAAAGACGGGCCTTGTGGGATTGTGGAATGTCCTTGCTTTCCAAGGATCATATCTTTCAGGGACAAATATTTTAAAAAATACTGGGGTTCTTCTGGAACAGTTTAATGAGTTGGAGGGTGGTGGCATTTGCAGTCTTCCTGCTTCATGGTCAATGGAAAAATAGATCCCTCTGCCTCACTGGTAAAAGAAATATCTTTTGCTGGAAAAACAGTTTTACCTTTGCTCAACAGGGAGTACAGGAAACCAGTTGTCATTAATGTGAGCCACTTTGGCAACACAAAATCCCAAAACAAATGAGGTCATTCTACTAAAAGCAGAGAAAGTATAGTAATCTCCCATTTGTTTTAGTTCTGAATTGGGAAATGTTGGCATTTTGCCTTTTCCATTTTATGAACAGAAATATCATTGTAATGGAGAGATGCTAACAAAAATAGCTGTATGTTAGGTTATGTTCTATCTGAACAATGCATTTGAAATGTTTTAGACCAAGCACATTCTTGTGCACAAGACCTCACATGGAGTAGTCCTCCTTTTGAATTCTTTTTGTATGTTTCTCACACATTACTCCAATTCTGAAAAAAAACTTGGCACTCTATGCAGCAATGAGAGCTGCATAAAAATAGGTGTAGGTATTTGAAAACAGTAATACTTCACTGAAGTTTTTTTCATATCAGTGGCAGATTAGTACAGTACCCATTGAGGCAGTTTTATCTTAGAAAATGTAACACTCAGAATTGAATAGTGCTCTGTTCTGCCACTGACTATACATATTGAGTTAGCAAAATGCTTCCAGTGATGTCTATTATCTTGCTCTCTTTGTATTGAAACTTTTCAATGCTTCCTTCTTTGCCCTGGAGCCGAACTGAGGTGGAATAAACTCGGTCGACAATGGCCAATATGAATAAATGTAACCTTATTTTGAAGTACACAGGGTCTGGAGGTGACACCTGCATGTTGTGGGATTGAAATGTACACCCCTCTTCAAAGCAATACATGTCAGTCAGGAAAGGATTTAAACTAAACATCCAAATTTGGCACATCCTTGGTGCAGAAGTAGTTTACAAAAACACACAGGCAAAATTCCTCAAAGAACCCAAGTACTGTTTTTTTCTGGAGTTTATTCTTTTTCTTCAAAATGTACACTTTATTTTAAACAAAAGTACAAAAAAAACAAAAGTCATATTTACAATACTTGTATGGCCTTCTCATTTTTCACCCTCTTTGGTTTCACTGCTGACCTGAACGGATGTTTTAAAATAAAACTTACCAAATAAAAAAATGCATGAAAGAAAAAACTCCAGTACCAACAGCTAGCTTTTGACTAAAAACATTTCAGAACAGTAACTTGGAAACAGTAACTTAAAACTGCGTTTTCTAACATGTTCCATTTCAAACTAACCCTTTCTTCCATTTTATGGTACCATTTTGAAGAGCCAAAGTGTTGAATTTTAAGGGCCAAAATGAAAGCAGTTCCAAAACTTTAAAGTTGAAGCACCACTAGACTCAAATATTCCTTTAAGTATAAATATAGTACTGCCAAAAACACAAGCTAAGCATCCAAATCCAGTGTCATGACTGTGGAGTTCTTTCAACTATGTAGACGCACATAGTAATGTTTGGAATATGAGTACTGCCTTGTTTTGTCCCCCCACTCAAATCTAACCTACATATCATTGTGTAGGGGAAGGGGCTGAGAAAGTACGAACACTTAACCGTTTACATCATGCTTTCTGAATGGTGATGAAATATTACTAAAACAATAATAAAATATATCAACGATTATTGTATATTGTAGTGATACAGAAGTCCATAACGAGAGCTATAGAAACTTGTTTTTTTAGCAGAACGAAGGGCAGGAAAAGGGTAACAGCCTTGTACAGTAAATGCTATCAGCAGCTGTTTAACAAATCAAGTCCTTCCACGATTCCACACAGAACATTTTGCATCAGTCGTTAAATAGTGTAATCTATGAAACACCTAGCACAACCTCTAATCATCTGTGACAATGCAAGCGCAGCCATACCATAAACAATCATAGCCTTTAAAGTACATAGAAATGCCATAAAATAAAGAAAGGGGCCGAGGTCTCAGTTTAAGATTCTTCACGAGTAAAACAATCCCATTGTCTGCACTTGAGTTGACTAAAGCGCTTATGCTTTTAAGAATAAAAAGAACTGGGCAGCTTCTAACAATTTTCTTGTGTAAGGTGAAGAAAAATTTCAAGGGAATCCTAGAATTACAAAAAACAATTAAAATAAATATGAGGACAAAGACTTAATACAGACTTTAACAGTACAGGAACATACGTGGAAACAGCAGTGAAGTCTTCACTCTCCATCAAAATATACATGGTATGTCAGCCCAAAACACCCCAAAAGTTAAGAAACAATGTGCATTAACTCATCTGAAAATTGGCAAACAATTAACTTGAGGTTTTGTGGCAGCAGAGTCCTTCTACATGCCCATGAAATTCAAATACATATACTATAGGCCTAAATAGTGTACAGAGAATTTACATTTTGTACTAAAAACAAATGAACAAAAAGGAGAAACCCACTGAACCAACACAGTGTATAAAACAAAAGCATTCACCAGGAACACAAGAAAAAGTCTTCAGTGCAGACTTGAAGAAAACAATATACAACAATTTTAGTGAATTTGTCTTTTCTTAAAAGGCGATGGTAAAGTACTTAAGCTAATGCTGTACATATCTGGCTTCTTTTTAAAATTCCTTTTTTCCTTTTGAATGTGCTGTGCATTAGAAGCTTGAAGGATGGTCTCAATGTCCAATCAAATGGCTTTCTGATAAGTTTTTGTCAGACAGCAAGTCCAATGTGAAAGGCATCTCACTGCTCCTTCCCTACAACAAGAAGAAAGGCAACTGCTCACACACACAAAAAAGAACAAACTGAAAGAATCGCATTATTTAAGGCGACTGTTCGTCCACCCTGCCACACAATCCCCGAGAGAAAGGATTCGAAACCCACTTCACACAGCAGTACAGTAAATGTACCTCAAACAGTTTTAACTTAATCTGCATGAGTGACGTCAGAAACAAGGCATTCCGTAATACAGAAAAGGTCCTGACCTTCCTGATCACTCCTGTGTCTTTACACTTCCACCTTGTGATTGTTCTCTTCTAGCTTCTTGCTTTCCTCTGAAGTTCCAGCTTCTTTCTCTCCCGTCTTCCAGCTTCCTTGCCTGAAAGAGAGCTCACACCCTTTAGTCCTCTCGGAATTTTCTCCTCCTGATGCTCCATCGTGTATCAGGATGTAGGACAAATCGAAACTTCAGACCTGAAGCATGTGAACTCAAATCTTACAAAAGTTCAACTAATGCTAAGCTGCGCCCTACCAAGAACAAAATATTAAAAGTTAAATAAAAATAGAAGTATTCCTCCTGAGAATAAAAGCTGTAAAATCTTAATTCCAGTTAATACCAGTATAGTTAACCATGTTACCATTTGTTTAACTTATCTGTAAAGATGCACAAAAAGTACACTTTGCAAGCTTGCCAAGATAACTTCAAGCTTACTTTGATTTCTTCATGTAAAGCCAGTAGACCAGCCCAACAACAAGAGCTGCCAGAATCAGCCCCACCACGATGCCCACAATCAGCTTGGCCTGGTCGTTTGTGTCTTCTGACATGTCTGCAAACGAGTCGCACTCATTAGAAACACGGTGAATACTGTCCTGAAAGGAGCCTTGAACATGCTGCTGGGTACTGGTCTCTTTCCCTTAAGAAAGCAGCAATTTGAGACTCGCTGGAATGGCATCATGGCAAGCTGAATGAGTCAACTCCATGAACAGTCAAACATTTCAAAAGGAGACATTCAGAAAAACAACATTCAGTAACAACTACTGACGTTATTACGCAATCAAAAATATTGAATGTAATGGATTATCGAAGATGGCAAGTGGCAAGAAATGTTTAAAGCAACATACTGCATTCATAATGAACAATGTACAAATGTATGTCCAAACCCTCCATTGTTTAGAATATTCACTGTATCCGTTTTCCCCTCTTACCAAAACAGTTGGGCATCACTTTAAAAAAAAAGATGTCTTATGAAACTGAAGGGTTTGTCAACATGTCGGGCTGCTAGGCACTTTCAAATCAACTGGACACCAGTGGTGACCTCCTTAATTGGGATACTTTTAATTAAATAGTAATGCCTGGCACACTGTAGCTTACCATCTTACTGCTGTCTAGAATCTGACAACAGTTGTACTCAGTGAATAAAAATGGATATTTCAACCTTTTTCCATGTTTATTATGTAGTAAGGATTTCATGCCATCTTTTATTACAGTTCCTGGAACTTTTGATAGATTACAGATCGCTTTCTAATTAAGATGTAACTTTTCAGCACAGGCACATTATGCATTTCAGGGTAAAAAGAAAAACAAAAATTAAAAAAAAAAACTTACCTGATTTTTCTTCCTCATCATCATTAATTACTGAAATAAGATATAAAATGAAATTAACTTCCAATCGATAAAATAAATCATGCATGCATCATCATCAGCTGTGGATTTAAAAACCGATCTGTAATCAGCAAAGTGTGGCTTGAATTATTAACAGATTTAAAGCAAGGCATTATTTAAAAAAACCGGCTGCGTTTGTCCCCGTTTCACCCAGGGGAAAAACACCTTGATGTGTCAGCCAGAATTCAAAAACTCGGGCATCTGTAAGCTTTTTCACGAACAAGGCAGTTCTTGGAAGTGGTTGGTAAAGAGTAGCAAATGAAAGCAAGGAGGCAGAGGGGAGAAACAGCCCAGCATCCCGGCACAGACAAACGAGAGATTACAGAAACAAAGCAAGAGACCTGCTGGTATGAATGAGTGTGCAATAGAATTAAAAGCAGCGTCGCTGACCAATCAGTTTATTACCCTTAATAAATTAGAGAATCACCTAATGTCAGAGTTCAATTACTCACATCTGCAACTCTTAGTCTTCAATGTACAAGAAACATTGAGTACAGTGAATGCCCCGTTTTGACTCGTACATATTTATTTTGATGGTGCTGTGCTGCACCAGATTGTTTATGTACAGTATGTACTGGAGGTGATTTAACAGCCACAAGAAAAAGTGCGCAAAATGAAAATGGATGACTCGGATTGAAAGAAGCTGTTGAAGACCATTTGATGCCCCCAAGTAGCTCCAGTGTTGGTGCGCCATGACACACCCTGTCACAGTACAGGCCCATTCTGCCAGCTCAGTGCTATGAGAAGCCTCTATAGGACGGTTTGTGGTGAGCTGGCTGTTTTTGCAAGTCTACCGGGCTGACATCAGGCTTTTCCTTCTAGCCATGGCTGCTGTTGGGCTCTTGTGAATTTCACCAGCCAAGGGGACCACACTTGGAAAGGGGCGATTACTTACAGGAAGAGACGTTGATGGACCGCTCGTCTTTTCCCAGCTTGTTTGACACTGTACAGGTGACAGTGACGTTTCCCAGTGGGAACATGGTGATAGTGTGGACGATTCTCCCATTGACATACCTCTCATTCTCCTGCAGATTAACAGACACACAGATACACATCAGCACCAAAGGAGAGCTCCAGTGTCTGCTTTAGCTCACATTCTGTACAGTCAAAATGAAAAGGACACAGAACTTCTTTTTTAATGCCAAGTTTCGTATCAACTGTTGTAAATGTATAACCAATTTAAATGAAGGTCAGACTCAACATGTAGCAAAGCAACTGCTGTCTACTTTTATGGAAATTATGATGTACCACACTGTATAAATACAGAAAAGCAAGAGAACAGTGATCGCAGGACTTAAACAAGTTAAGAGTAATGTACCCAAGCATCCACCAGAGGGCACTCAAGATCTTATGTTGTTTTCTAAAAGGCCTAGGGTTCATGATTGCTTTTTCCATTTCAACTGTTCACCACACCCAGTGCTGGCCAAACAACCCAGAGGTCTTCTGTTAATTTCAACATTATGAAACCTTAATTACAACTTCCACTTCCACTGCAAAATGCACTGATTTTTGCAAAGTATATTTAAAAACATTATAGGACACCTGCTAGCACTACTCTGTGAATCCCTAATTTGGGGTTTTGAAAATCATTTGGACCTCATTACCAGCTTTGCCACCCTTATTGTACAGGTGAAAATGCTGAGAAACATCACCAGCTGTTCCCCCCACAGCAAATCTCATTTAATCTGAAAAAATGAGAAGCCCAGTCATGAAAAGTCATATGAAGATGGGGCAAGGCCAAGAAAAAGCTCAGAAAAAAAGAGCATCTTCTAAGGCAGGCATCTGTAACAAATCAGCCCAGCCTCCCTCCACACTGTTGTTCAGGGGGTGAATGGAGTGACCCTCACGATTCACTGCTTTCATTTCTGCATTCTCTGAGCCGAGTCACAGAAAGGAAGTAGACTTGTGGTCCACAGAGTGAACTGACAGCAATACTTCTGCTTATCTGGTCTTATTGTGCCTTCGACATCAAAACCGCCACAAGAACTTAAAAACTAAAAAAAGCTCTGACTACCTATGTGAGTCTGCTCATTTCACTAAGAACGTCAAGGTGAATTTGATACAAACAACTGTAGAAACGGCATACATTCACAACCTCAACGCTCTATCCAGAAGACAACATCCATTCAATTTAAGCAACAATCCAAATGCAAGAGTAAAGAACTAGTCTGCGAGTAGCACTCTTAAATGTTCAAGCTGAATGAACTGCAGGTTCTACCTGAAACCCATAAAAAGCAACAAGATGAAAAGAATACACAGCCAAAAGTCATGGAGGTGGCATACAATCTAAAACGTGGAGTCAATTAGACATTACTGAAGCCAAAATATATTAAACTGAACATTTCAGCACAAAAGCCTTCATTAGCACAAAATATTTGGTTCACTAAGAATCCACTTTATACACAAATTCCCCAACCATTCATATTTTCACGAGAGGGAAATACTACTTGTTTTAAATTAGAAAAACAGAAATCGAAAAAACGGGCTCACCTGAAAATATAAATTATATCCAGAATTCCAAATATCATACAAAATAGAAAGTTAAATGTTCAAACTGAGTGAACTGCAGGTCCTGCTTAAATCCATAAAAATATAACATACAAAAGCACAGACGAATGAAGACTGAAAATTATTTTCAGTAAACAGTTGCAGACCAGAGCAACCAGACCGCCCTGTGGTGGTGGTGTCCAAAAGGCAGATATGTTGACTGGAAGCCAGAGGCCAAATACGTCCATATAGATACCCGTCTTCATAACATAGCCAGCATATTAATATTGAAGATGAATGCCAGTCGCTGACCTTCCATTCCGTGAATTAGCTACCCATGTGTCTTGTCTATAAGAGGATGAATCAATCTCTTTGCTTATAGGCTAAGATCCCTTACTAAATCACTAAATCCAAGGATTCAAAAAAACTCACAGAGGTGGCATTGACATTCCATCGGACAGTAGGTTTAGGAGAACCTTCAGCTTCACATGTCAAGACCTTCTGCTGGCCATCTTTGGCCACAAGTTTGTTTAGCTTATAGATGTATGGTTTCGCTGGAAAAAAAATAATAAATTCGGTCAGTTTTACAGAACATGAGTCACAGCTTTATACTGAAGACACCAAGACTGTTTCCATAAGGCCTTTGGTTCACAAATCTGCACACCATATAATCTCTTTATGTGGAGTTTAAGAATGTAACCCGTTTTTTTAATGTGTTTGTCATTGACTGCTTGTATTGTAGGTACTGTAGGCAAAATGCATGGTCTATATTACCTTGAAACACACTGCTTATAGAAAATGTTGGTTTCCACAAAAGCAAAAGGCTAAATCAGAATTTTACCTTCAACAGTGAGGTCAAAAGTAAAAGTCTTCTTCACTCCTTGCAGACTAGGAGCAGAAACTTCACAGACGTAGGAGCCAGCGTCCTGGATCTTCAGGCTGTTCAGCTTGGGTTCAGCAATCTTGACGCTGTCCTGAAAGAGATGACGAGCAAACCAACGATTCACCACCGTAACAAAATCCTGCTGCACTTCCAGGCTGCAGAGGTGCTCTTGGGGACAGAGTACATCTTATGATATAAAGAAACTCCCAAAGAAGGCTCCACAGCCAAAACGTTGTTTCTTTTCAGCATGGAATAAACCTTTACTTGTTCCTTTCCAGCCTACGCATGCCGACGCAGCTCCCTACTTGAATTACTTTCTTAAGACTTGCCCATTACTGGTCTATCTTAATTGCTTAAATGGGCAACTCCAGTCGGAAACGTACCATAGCCTACAGGGCTGGTTCTCATGCAACATGTGATCTTATTCAGATTAATTAAGTCAAAAGACCTGTTTTTTTTTAGTACTAATTAACCACTGCTTGAAAAGTGGCCTGTAAAATCCTTAATCACGCCAGACCCCATGGGCCTGAGGGTCTCATTTATACAAAATATAATAGCTAGGAGAGAGATGTTGAAAACCTTCCCCTGCGCTGTGGGTGCAAATGGATTGATGAAGTGTCACTTTTCTACCTCGTTAAACAATGGTCTTCATTGTTTATGATGTGGTTCAATAAAAAAATACCCGAAAATATATTCCACTGAAAGTAGCTGATGTACACTGCTCACAAACTGTACTACTGTTTTAGGAGTACACTGTATCCCCCCCACCATCTATACTAAGGGTGCTTAATAACATTCTGGTTTGCTCCTACCTTCATCCAAGAAACTTTCACCTCTGTAGAGGATTGTTTCACCAGTGTCACATTTACACTTTCACCAAGCATTCTGGTGATCTTCCCTGTAGGGCTCAGGCTTGCATCCATGTCTGAGGAGAAAAGAAAAATAATTATCAGCTACTTACACTGTTTTTAATTAAACCAATCCAACACTTTCAATTTTTTAAGGGAAAATTCATCAAAGTGTCGCAGACCTCTGCTTATGTTTCACGTGTCAAAGTTTCTCAGTTTTCCCCCCATTCAAATTTTTGGGATTCGGTCACAAAGGCTATCAAGCTAAATTCATTTTGTACTGAAGATGCGTTCCAGAAGCTTCCAGTTACCCACTGACAGAACAATATTAAGTTAGCTTTGTGCATCTCGATACAATTTTGGTTTTATGATATTGAGCAGACGCACAGCTGTGCAAAGTCTTCACCAAGTGTCTACACAACAGAATTATCTGCATTTTCCAAGAGGCTGCAAGGAGAAAAAGGTCCAAACATCCCCTCCCCAGAGTCTGTATTATCGATTGTCCTCCTTCCAATCCCTTTTTAAGACACTCTCCTTTAAATCATGTTCTTAATTAGTTTGCAGTCCAAAATTCTGTAAATAGTGAAAAAAACGAAACCTTCCTGTAATTAACCTTCAGTAATTAAAACGTCTGGAATCTATCCACCTGTTTTCTGTATGGGAACAGAGCAACATTCAATATTTTGAAAACAGCTCGCCTGGTCACTGAAGAATGATTCACTGTGTAGACAATCTATTGAAATTCAGAAAAGCTCAAAATAAGGGCAGAAACTGCATCTGATGAAGTAGGTGGTGGGTGGGGTTAGTTAATCCTAGGCTCTAAATTTCTGTATCCTTTCCTGTTTACTTCCCTCTAAACCATCAATCAAGCAGCGATCAACGCTAACTCACAGTGCACAGTGATGTTGGCCGAATCCAGAAGTTTGTCGTCGTCAACGAGAGAGCATTTGTACTCTCCGCTGTCATCTCGCCTCACGCTGGTCACAGTGTACGTGTTCGAATTCTGCACGGTTTCTTTCTTGCCCTGTGTCGACAAAACGCAATGAGGAATTTCAAATACAACGCCACGCAGGTGGAGGGTTTTTTTTATCAGCGTGAGAAACTGCTTTCAAGGTCTTTCTGAAGCACAAAATTACCCTAAACTGACATCTGCTGTTCAAGTAACAGCTTAACCCCCTAAAGCCGATACCACAGCCTCCGTGCCAATGTGAAAACACGTAACGACTGTGCTCAAAATAATAATAAAGATCCCATGGGCAGAATAGACAAAGAAAGGGAGCTTGCCTTAACGTAGAAGCTGTAACTGCTAGGAGGGGGGTTTCCATCAGCAGAGCACTTCAAGGTCACATTGTCCCCCTCCTTGAACGGACCTTTACTCAGCACTTCAATGTTGACCTTCTCCGAGGGATCTGCGAAAAGACCATTTAAACATGAAGCGCGACACGGGACTGAGACACTTCAGGAATTTCTTACCAACCTGCCCAAGCACTTTTCGGACGCTGCCTTCATGCACAGAAAGACAGCCTTCGGCCTGCGAGCATACTTTTTACCAGTCATTTCCTGTACATCTCTTTTGAATGCAGCAGTGGAGCGAGTCATATTGCTTCTGCACCCTGAGGCGCTACACAATGCTGCTTTCAACCTTCAGTAAGTGCTGTGCCAGACAGACTAAATTACCCACATTGTATCAGGCAAGAGTCAAAAAACCCATAGATTTCTGATAAGAACAATTCTGACGGCCACCTCAAGGCAAAACGGCAGGAATTCCATGGACACACAGCGGCGGAAGTCGAGAACAGAAGATCAGGAACTCAGACAAAGCAAAGACCTTTTCCTCACATTTCATCCTCCACCATGTTCATTAGTTTTACAGAAATGTCATTTGTCATTACTTGATCATTATACCTCAAAGCCAGAATAAGAGACAGAATGTTTTAAGTAAGGAAAGATGTTACCAGTCAGCTAATTTATCGCCAGAACATTCTCGCCAACCACTACAGGAAACTACTAAATCAATATAAAGAACACCTGAAGCAACTATGCTCTCAACTACAGTCTACAGCACGTGATTGGTCTACTAATCCGTGCACCAGGCTTCTGCGAGGTTACTGAAAGCTACTCACAGTGAATGACGAAGGTCTCGGCACTGGACACTTGATCAGGCCCCAGAGAGTGCTGTACTGAGCAGGTGAACTGGGCTCCCACATCGCTTTTTGAAGCTGTGTATTTCAGCTTGGAGGAAGTGCTGGACAGTCCTGTCGTGGGATCTACGGTCACGTCGTTTGTGATGACAATTACTACACACACAGGGGAAAAAAGCAAAATTAAAAACAATTCATACAATGCCATGTACACCTTTTAAAATATGTTGTCAATTCCATGGACGGTACTTAATGAAAAGAATTGCAGCGACAATGTTACATTTTTTCATGCTTGTACTGATAATCAGAAAAAGGTTATCAGTAGAGGTTCCACACTGCTTGTTAGACAAGAAAATGCTGGCCAAGCTCTTGGAATCACTGCCTGAAGAAACATTACTGGGCAGCAGATTGACTTACACTTTCCATCCGAGACCAGAGGGCTCCCGTTCTTTGACCACGTGATGTTCCCTGCAGGATTACCAGCTTCTGTGACACAGTCGCCCACCTGGAAAAGAAATCAGACACTGAGGCAGCAGTATAACCAGGCTGACAGGCGATGAGGGAGAAAAACCCACCGCACTGAAGTTTTTGACAAAATAAAACTTGCCTCTTTTAAAATGGTTCTGCTGAGCTTGAGGCATAAATGTCACCATCTTATTCTGTGCATTACCTCTGTTTTCCCATCCGTATGTTTCATCTTTATAATGAAAGAAGCAATAAGACAAACATTACCTTTTTCTAAGATACTACAGTTGTGCGATATTCCTCATGTATTATACCACTATAGCAATGGTAACCTCAGGATAAGTCGATTTCTTTCTTGTACATTCATATAAATGTCTTTTAATTATAGCTGATGCTGAAAATCCATCTCTCTCCTCCATGAATACCACCACATGGGAAACCCATTAAAAAAAAAACACCGAACTGACATGTCACCACTTAGTTAGGGGAATTGGTAACCAGAGGTTCTTAAATACAAAATATATCTTTAATGATCTCACCAAGATGACTAGACCATGATTACATTCTAGCAGGTACCTTCACTAATGATGACAGGGCTGCTAATTTTCAATAAAACAGAAACACTATCTCCTAAAAGTCTCAACTAGCCCTGTAAAACTATATGCTCAATATGGTCGAACAGCAAAACATGCCAGTGTATTATTCTCTTCATCCTCTCCAAGACAAATGGATCTGCAAAAACCCTATTACAGGAAAACCTGAAGCTGCATTAATAAAGATGTGACAGGATTAGGTTCACTATGACTGAACACAAGTGCAATTCCTTTTGCAGAGTGGAGAACCATCTACAGGAAAGAATGTTCCCATCGGTGAAATGCAATAACACGGACATTTTAATGCACAGCTGGAATGATACATTAGCCCAAGTTTTAAGGGTGGCACAGGAAACTGAGCCTATTCATAAAAAGGTAGAAAAGCAGAGTGAGGAACCTGCTGCAGTGTCAGCATCAGATAAACTCCAGGGTCTCTACAAGGAATGGGCCATAATATAGAGATCACAAGTTTTGTGACTTAGCAACAGATATTTTGAGGAAATTCTACAATGTACTTTTCAATGTCACCCATTCAATAAGTGTTTATTGTATTTTTATACTCTTTTCTGGACCCATAAATTACCGCAATACGATCTCAATCAAACCCTTGCATTTAATTAAACTGCAAATATCAAGCCAAGTCCTGGCCTTTCAAAGCTGAAAAGTTTCAGTTTAATATAAACCGCAGGCAGAGACGGCCAAGTTCAAAACCTCCATTATAGGGAGGTCTGCTGTTCTTTCTCTGCATGTCAAAATTCAAAGGTGCTTCTGAGATTCCCCCTCAGTACAGGCATTTTTTTCTCCTTCCCTCAGAAGCAGAGCAGAAGGCGGCACTCGGACTGCAGCAGCCTTATCTGCCTCGAAAGCAGCACAACATAAAGCTAAATGGCAAACAATAATGAAAGAGAAATTTAATAAAAGACACAATGCATTTTTGAGGAAAAAGATGTATTAAAAATAGAAAGCCCAAGGACATCTTGTGTATTGCATTATATCTTGGTCAAATCTAAATTGAAAACATCTGTTTTGTGGCTGTCTCTGATCTCACCACCTTCCTTCTAACTGCTGGGATATTTGATCTCGCGTTCGAGTCTCCTTCTGATAAGCGGTATTCTCTTGTGAGGTAGCCATTCTTTTTAGTACTATAACCCACTTTAGCCATTTGTATTAATGCACACATTAAGTCTTCACTTGTCCTTGACCTGAGCACTTTATCTGTATTGGAAATGGTTTGCACTGTTCGTTTCACTTCTTGATTCTTTGATTGGAAATCTAGATGGTTTTTCCGTCGCCGCTAATAACCAGACAGATGCATTGTGTAAGGCCTTTTGAGGATGATGCTAACCATGAGAATATCTCGTGAAAAAATTGACTGATAGGAGGACATGAAAATGAAACATACAGTGACAGATTCCAATACTCTTTTGGATTCTGCTACAGTGCATTCTCTCTCACTTTCTCAGACCCATCAGCTACAACCGTGTGACAACAGTAGGTTAACAGTAATATATGCAGCTCACCAAGGTAAGTTTTCCATTTTCCAGTTGCTTGGCTTTTTCTTTGATCTGCGGTTTGGAGGGCAACTCTGCAAGGAAAGTAAAAAAGTAAGCAACGGGGATAATTCAGAAAAGACTGGAGCAATAAAATACGATATTTCTCATGCAATTTTTGGTACGTCGCTACATGTTCTTATAGCAAATATAAAATTACACATTTATCAGCCACTGAGAACAGAATTCAATTAACCCGCAAAACGCAAATCAGAAACCTTTCCAAAGAAGAAAAAAGAGCCCCTTGCTTCACTATTAAATCATGCTGTAGAAAGGCAATATTTTGCGATAGAAAATCTCACCAAGTTTTAATAATCTGATGTACGGGGGGGAAACATTTACACATGCCTCCACCTTTACGGGTAGGACAAGAAATATTCTTCAAGCAATACGAGACAATTAGAAGTTCAAAGGCAATGATGTTCCTGTTTATACAGAAATGTTCATTCTCTAAAGAGCAGACGTCAGAAAAACCTGCACACTTACTGTAAACCCGGACAGAGGTGGAGTGCTCTTTAGCGTCATTCATGGTAACCACCAAGCAGGTGAAAGTCTTCTCATCCTGCAAGGTGGCCTTGGTAATGCGCAGGCTGAAGTTCTCCGTAACATTCACTCGATCCTTGTACTCATCCTTAGCCAGAATTTTAACGCCGTCCTTCTGCTCCTGTTTGGTCAGCAGGTCCCCTTCACCTGCATCCTGCGTTTCCTGAGCAATAAGGAAAACGCGTGAATGACCATATTCATACCATGAAGTTAATTCAGTATTTTACTGGGTTTTCAGAATGATGACAAGAACCAGCTCCCTTCATAGTGGGCACACAGCCGATCTGAGGAAACATGACCTCTCATAGTACCAAAATACTCTCTGCTAGAGGGTTTGAAAAAGTATTTTTAAAGTCTATGCATTTGTATTGGGGCAATAGCAGAGACAGGTTTCTCATCTGTGACTCATAACTCCGCAGACTGCTCAGGAAACCCCCCACAACTAATATGCAGTTCAAGTTATTATTGATCACCACAAAAATACTTACAAATTTCCATTTCACAAACATTAAGTCCTTTGGTTTGGGAGAAGCTATACTGCATGGCACCTCAATTGTTTCTCCATACAGAGCAGTCACCTTATCGGAACTACATCCTGAAATAAAGAAAGAAAATGAGATTTAAAAAATTGAATTTAAATTAAAAAGACAGGACTGTACCCAGGCCTGGATTGGCGTATGTCGACAGAATATCTTAATCCTCAGTAGTACAAGTCGATGGATTTCTTACAACGTTTTCAGACTAAGTTTAAACCACAAACATGATCCACATGAAATCTGCTTACAGGAACCAATGTTCTCTAAGGCAGTTTTCTCAAGATCTTTTTTAAACCCTAGCAAATTAAATTTACACAGTTGCTCTGGATCTCCTGCAACCCTGTATAGGACAAAGCAGTTAGGAAATTGATGGAAATGTGCTTACTTTAGTATGTGGGCACAAAACTAAACATTTTCTATATCTCTTAGAGCTCTCCAATACAGCCTGCCAGAAAGATTCATACATGAGTATTTTGAATTTACTGTAACTTGAAACCAACTCTGTGGTGCAGGACAATTGGATTTCATGCAGAGTAAGCTTAATGGTAGAAATGCTTCATTAAACAATGGGGACAAAAGGAAGATAAAAGGAGCTGCTGTTGCAGTTATCCATTTTTCTCATTTCCAAAATGCTTTTGTTTCTCCCCACAGAATAATTAAGCCATCCGGTAATAAATCTTATTTAACATTTAAAGCCCCAAAAATTATTTCCCGCAGCAAAAAACAATTCTCTCTTATCTATTTAAACACTCAACAGTAGCACCCAAAAAAAGGTTTAAGCATCCTGGAAAAAGAAAGTACAGATTTCGCAACAGGTTTGCTTACATTTATGCTGGAGAATTTTACTCAGTTCATTTTATACCTCCACGAGCAGCTTTTTAAAACTGATGTAAAGTTTAGGTTAGAAAATGTTTAGAACCACAGTTTCCACAATGCCAACAACACTGGTCTGATCTGAAACTGCACTAAGAGGAATTGAAGAGTCCTGAATAATTACACAGCGCACAGTCACACGTTTAGCAGAGAGCTTTATACACAATCTCTAAAGTGTCTGGTTTAACAAATGATTCTTGCTAAACTGCACCATAAAAGTCAAGTTAAATCCAATACGTATAAATTAAAATCCTCGTTCACAAAAATAATTTATCCTAAAACTGACCCTTAAAATGGATCTTGCTCAAGTGTTTAGATTTCAAAATGTGTGGTGAAAACAGTGATGCAAAGACTGCTGGGACACGACTCAGCAGTTAAAGACGACTTGAGTTAAAAGAACCAGAAAGGCGAACAACAGCATTCACTCAAAACCATGAAGAGAACGGAAGAGGCTGTTGAAAACACAAGAGAAGGGGAGGCGATGTGCACCTGAAACAGGTGTTTAATGGCGTACACTCCCATAAACACTACGCCTTTGTACTGTACAGCAGCCAAGCTAGAGCCGTTAAGAACACAGTACTGATAGAGATCAGCCGAGCCAAATTCCTTACAAAACGCATTGGTTGTCATGTTGCTGTCAGGCCGGGCAGGACGACTGCACTGCGAAGCAGGAGATGCTATCATCACCTCGTCTCGTCAGGGTGTTCACGTGTCTGCGGACGAGTGCCTCCGCAGCTCTGGGCCTCCACACCCACAGCAAAATTTGTATTTTTAACACCAAGCCAGAGGGAGGATCGACTCAAGGACGCAAATCATTCACCACATTCCAACCGACGCCACCGTGGAGATCATTTTCCCCAGCCTGCCCCAGGTAGCAACACCTGACATAACCCGAGTGCCTTTACAAATCATCAGGCAGGCCCCTAGATGGTTTGGCAACAGTAAAGTAGAAAGCTTCTGCACCAAATGCACAGAATTTGCTCTAGGTGGATAAAAAAAAAAGAATATAATGGGTTTTCATCACTGATACAGAAAACCTGAAAAAATATCAAACATCATTGTCGACAAGGAGGATCCTACAAGCTTCCAGAACTATTTATTTTTCAACATATTAGGAATAAATGTCATTTGATTATACAAAACAAATAGCTAATGGCATATTAAAGAATTCAGCGCTAAACAAAATCTGTGGAACAAATTTATGGAAATACTCTGTGTAACCAAATGTACACAGAGACTAATAAATCATCCAGTGCATTTCTGATAAGGGCTTTTCGTGTGGGGTGGTAGGAATTCATTCAAATGTCCAAATCAGCACAGTATTGATTAAGAGCCCATAAAATGAGCATCATTCACTACAGAGGACAACAGAGGGGACGGGGGAGTTAAATAAACAAAAGAACGGAAAGTGTAACCCAGGCAAGTTGTTCCTCTTGGACTCCACTTTAAATCAATGGACGCCGGAATTTAACAAGCCAGCCCCCCCTCACCTCCACAGACGAGGAGGATGTCAACGGCTGTCACCTCAAATACCCTCGACCAGGTTGGCACGGTGTGTTTCTGTGCCAGTCTGGCTGAAAGCAGGCGACGAGGCTTTGTGTGTAAAGCGAGCACAAACACCACATGCTACCTATCCCGTACGTGCAGAGCACCATGACAACAGAGAGGCTGAAAGGCTACCACCTGGAAAGCAGCTGCTCTTTTCCCAGGAGTGCAGGTGGTGGGAAAACAGTCGTATTAGAACATGAAAAAAAAAATTCAAGCCTTTCATTGTGTAACTGTAGTTAAGCGACAACAAAAAGCAGCTCATTTGCCTCTTTCAGGCCACAGTGCATACCCTGTTGAATCGTTTGATGTTTTATTCCTACAGTCATAAACTATATATTGCACTCTTTTTGTCTAGGAAAAAAGAACAGTAGTATTTGACATGGTGTATACTGGACTGTGCACACCTTAAAGATATTTCTAACTTGAGATCTTGAGGGGAAAAAAAAACCATGTACTCCGCTTCCTGGTCAATTTACATTCCAGCTCCAATCATCCTGTCCACACCCATTAATCTTGGGTCCATGGAGGGCAGAGGGCTGTTATTGGATCTCTTATGCCAGAGAAACTAAAATCGATCATTATGCAATTAAAGGCCAAAGACAACAAGACTTTACCAATGTCAGAACAGGTATATAGGGACATGCTGATTAAATCCATTTTATTCTAAAATGCACCACAAAAGAAATGTATAAAGCAGCTAACTTGTGGGACTGAACATTTCAAATTAATTCCAGTTCCTCCTGTAGGCCTGTGTCTCCAGAATCCCAACCACACAAGCACCCCTGTATTTTCCATTTATCGCACAATTTGGATTTTGAGCTCTAAAAAATAATAATGCCACCGGTTGCCACCCTTTGCAAATACAACAAGATGGCAGTTTGAAAAAATACAGCACATATTTACACATTTCTCTGACTGTGTATTTAACCATATGGTCCCTTCTCTATTGTTCAATTCTTTGCAACCAAACTGCATGAAAGGAAGACATTGTACCAGTGCAAACAAACCAGTATTCGACTTCACATCAAAAGCAATAGATCTGTGGGTATTGCAGGGCCTCTATGTTCCTGTTCCATTATGGCAGGCAGACAGGCAGATAAGCTTGATATAAAAGGGATATTGAGCTGCTGTGACTAGGAATGATGCACAGTAATTTTATAGGATAAACATACAGAACAATAAATTGGACAAGTCTTAGAGCAATCCTGCCTATTGTACAATCAAAAAAGAGCAAAAGGTAAAAAATAACTGAAATAAAAAAAAAACCTGTTATATGCACACTCATATGCTTCGGGACCAGCATCTAGAAGATAAAATGACTCCAACGCGCTTGGTTGTATATTTTGAGCTGCGCATTAATGTTTCAGACGCACTCCTAGTCTCTGCCTCTGTAAGGAATGCCAAGCATGTCCTTGAGAGAGGGCTGGAAAATGCACTGCGCAGAATCATCCCGAAAGGGAATTCAAGTGTGTGCAGAGGAACATGCTGCCTTAAAAAAAGACACCCCATCACACCTGGCAATGCCAAGACACAAGACTAGTGTTAACTGAGGCAAGGACAAGGTCTTGTGCCGTTACATGCACCACAGTGCCCTTTATTGACACCCCATTGCAACTGACATTGGATCACATTGGAGTTAAACCCGAGATACTTTGGAGCTCGATTTGCGCCACAGACATCATGGTGTTAGAGTCCTCCCTGCATCATCTCAGTTCTACTGCCCCAGCAGCTGTCTTGAACACTGCAACAGTCAAGAGTTCACAACGACATCCCCATGTGCTCCACCATCACCCCACGCACTCTCTCCCTCACAAGAGAGATTCTGTTTCTCGGCTCTCAACGTGTTAACCCGACAGCGAGCTGCTGTCCTCCTGAGGGCGTGCAGGCTAATCGCTCGTGGGATTGCTTGTGCTGAAGCCACTTTTGTCTGAAAACGCAAGTTAGGCAAGTGGATCAGATGATTGCAGCCGTCCCAGAACCAGTGTGGTAAACCCCTACCTTCCCAAAATAAAGACAAAGATCTGCTCCCTATTTAAAATGTCGATTACATTGTGTGCCTACTGAACGACTGATATCAAACTTAAAAAGGCTGCTGCATATCAGCCTAGTGGATATCTAGGATGACGCATAAAAGTCCAATGGTCTCATCATGACCAATTAATGTGCAAATCTTCACATTTCCACATTAGCTTTCCCTGGATGTGCCCTTTTTCCAATGCTCCCACCTCAGAGACAAATCAAATATGTATTCACTGGGGAAACTATAATTTCTTTTCCAGCACATCACATCACCTGAATGATCAAAAGCATGCCTCGTCTTAGCAAGTATAACCAAGGAAAACAAGTTTCTTTTTTGTTGTAATGACGGCTTAGGTGTCTGCAACATGAAAGGCTGGTCGCTTTTATAGGCAAATTTTTTACCAAATTAGCCACAAGGTTGAGGAGGGAGCAACTGTGGGCTCGCATTAAAAATTCACTTTAAAAATAAAATATACACCTTCCCAGGCTTGCAAGAACACACAATTGAAGCGTATGAAATGTCCTGCTTGGCTCACAATAGAATACACCATAGTTCTTGATTAGCCACTTTCTTCTTTTCAGTAGTTGCTAATTCAGAGATGCCGAGCAAAAGGGTAAC